TTCGGTTCCAGCACAGTTTGGTTCTCAGTTCGGTCCCAGTTCGAACCGGTTCTCTGAGAACCACAGCACCCCTAGTTGATGGCACTTCAGTGCAAAATTGACGACTAGATCCCCCAGAGTCCACACCCCCCCGTTCTGAAGTTAAGGACCCAACACTAGCGTTACTGAACGTTGGCACAGCACTCCTCTCTGAGTCGCTGAGGCCACGGTCCCTCCGCTCATCCTCTACCTCCGGCCTCCCTTCCGGGGAAAGGTCCAGACATGCCCATTCCCTCTTTGATGTGTTCTGACACATTGCCCATTCCCCCACCTCAGCCCTAATTTCGATAATTTTGATTTATCTTTCCATTTTCCTGTCTACTATTTATGTATGTAAATAGCCATATGTACAACTTCCCCTAACATCGCAGGGCACATAGTTATCAGGATGTCCTCAGATTTTCCCACAGTCCATTTTTGGCAGCAAGCCGCATCACCAGGACGTCCCAGGATGTCCACATTGAAATAGGCCGTTTAGGCCCTATTTGAAGCGTAAAAAACACCCCTTGATAGGGTGGGTTAATTGGCTGACTAGCCTGGTTTCTGAAGACTCAGCCGTTTGCCAAGAGGCTGTCTAATCTTTCAGAAATCCTAGTGAAGTCTTCCGTAGGCTCTGGCTCAGGTGAAGGGGAGGGGGTATGATGAGGCTGTCCGCAAGGCTTGGCAGAGTGGTGCTCCAAAGATTCCTCTTCTTTGTTACAGGACTTGGAGGTTTTACCCTTGGTCCATGCTAGAGGAGGTCCATACCCAGTCGCTAAGCCACTTACAGTGCGATCCAACCTATCAAAGCGCAGGGGGGGCTTGGACTTCATTGCCGCCTCCATGCATTTCATTTTGGATTCTAACTCTTCGAAGCAGTAGGTGTCAGTTTTAACTCTTTTTGGTGGTGGAGAAGGAGATCTGGGGCGCTTATTGGTACTTGGCCACTGGGAAGGCATTCCCCTGCGTGCCCCTCCTCTGAATCCTCCTCTTCCGCTCCTGAAAACAGGAGTTTCTGAACGATCTCTTTCACGGCTGTCTTCATGACAGGTCTGGTAGGAGTACTCCATTCTGTCTGAGTGTTGAGAGGAATTATCTGGCACATGGTAGGCCATGTCACAATTTAAGACATGCATAGATTTCCCATCAATTGTTTCCTCCCCAGAAATTACATTCTGGATAATTTTGTCAGGGCACATACCCTGACTTAGCCTGGACCCGGACCCGCGTCCGGACCCGCTCCACTTCCCGCGCACTTCCTGCGCCGCATGCTCCGTGCGCCGCATGATCCGACCCCGGATCCCACCTCATGTGACTTCCGGGTATCCCCGGAAGTTTTCGCCATATTGGGGCCACTGTGGGAAAGTGAGAAGCTAACCTTCTTCTCACTTTCTTACCCACAGTAGGCAAGTGTATCTACTTGCCCCTTTGTTTATATCACTTTCTTACCCACAGTAGGCTGTTACGGGTTGGGCTGTGGGCTATAGAGAGAGGGGTCATGGGGACCCAGGGTCCGTCCCCTGACAAATTTCAATTACTGCCTTAGGCTCAACGGAAGGACTTGCAGGCTCGTACTCAGCCTTGATGGTCTCAATAACCTCCATTTGTGCTTCGCTGAGCTATCTACATGGGTTACAATCTTCAAAACATGAAAACTCAAGCTGGCTTCGCCAATCTCTGGTACTTTTCTAACATATGTTCGCAGCGCACCATAGTTGGTCATCCCACCTGCATGTTGAGGGACTGCGGCGGGAACTAGTCTTGAAACATGATCCGACTCTGATATTCAGACTCGTCCACATATTGAATTCGGTGATAACCGTAACCTGAATGCCACAAAGTTCGGTGGTGATCAATCCTGGCGCATATTCAATGCCCTGACTGGAGTGGTGCAAGGCCACTGCGTTATCGCAAGTGTCTATTGAGCAAAGAATGGTTAAGCATGAGCATGAGCAAATTTCACCCCCAGGTTTCGGCTACCATTGTTCGAAGGGACCATGACATCGTAATTGACATTTTGGTTGGGTTCTTCACCATATGGAAATCAGCTGCGACAATGGGAAGCAGAACAATTAGGGCAAAGAAACTATAGAATCGCATTATGGCATCTAGAAATTGCTACCACTAACCAGTAGTGTATATGACATGAGCAACTATATCCATAATAACCAGCATTGATCAACAAGTACTAACCTCAATCCCGAGCGCAAGTGGCAAGTGGTGAGGAGGAGTAGAGGAGGGCACAACATCGGACATTATATATGAGGTTCCAGTATCCAACCCATATTGGAAAAATAACAAAATCAATCACAGATGCAATCGTCACACTGCTTCATCTGAATATTTTGTTGGAAATCCGTCGCCTACTGCCAAACCGCATGCCAGGGAATACAAACTCATTGTAACCGCGCAGTGGTGTAAGTGGCCAGAGTAATGGGATATCAGACAAAGAAATCATATCAATAACTGATCTGAGCATGATATGCATAACCGGCACATTGTTGTGGCTTGTTTGTCCAACACTAGTAGTCTCATAAGGCTTACAGAGAGCACCCAACGAGATTGATCCAGGGCTTCAAAGAGCAAGGTTGAATGTCAGTTTTATTGCAAGCACGGATTTTGAAGATGGGAGAAGCTTTTAATTTTAATAAATCATGACGCATGGTGTGTCAGGGCACACACCCTGACTAGCCCGGACCCGGACCCGCATCCAGACCCGGACCTGCACCCGCTTGTGTGCTCTGCCCCGCATGCTCCATGTGCCACATGCTCCGGGCCCAGTTCCCACTCTTCATGTGACTTCCAGGTATCCCTGGAAGTTTTCGCCATATTGGGCCACTGTGGGAAAGTGAGAAGTTAACCTTCTTCTCACTTTCTTACCCACAGTAGGCAAGTGTACCTTACTTGCCTTTCTATCTATTACACTTTCTTACCCACAGTAGGTTGTGCCTTAGGATAGGCTGTTCACACACAGGGCTGTGGGCTATAGAGAGAGGGGTCATGGGGATCCGGGGTCCGTCCCCTGACATGGTGGTGCATCGTGAAGAATGCTGCAGCTTATGGAAAGTGTTCCTAGGAGTGCAGTGATGCCTTGTTATGTAAATAAAGCATGAGTTCGTGGCTGGTCCACTCTCTGCATGTGCAAGTAGCAATCTCTCGAGTGTTGGGCCACCAGTGATTGGAGGAACCGAATTATGAGCAAGGTGTTGGAATATCAACACTCATCGATAACAGCCGAGCTGCAGTGTGGATTGGGGAGTTTTTATTTTAACTTAATATCGTCGTGACTAACAACGACTATACCTTTTTGTTTCAGAGTCACGGTACCACACACTCCCAATTTACTTTGTCTTATATCGCCAGTTGTCACTGGCAATCGCTTTAAGCGATATTGGCTCCAGTCGTATAAGTTACGCTGGACGCCGTAATTTTTCTCCCTCCCTCAGTTCTCCATTTCGAGACTGAGGTGATACCATTTCTTTCCTATCTGTGTTTGCGCACAACTCATTGTATTTTCATGTTATAGTTACATGTGTGTCAGGGCTCGGTCCTCGATCAGGGACAGCCCGACCTCAGGCCTAGGTGTGTGCGGTGTTCCGGGTGGTTGGGCGCTAGACCCGGTCCTTAGCTCCTCAAACTCACTGAAGGGACTAAGCGGGGATTGAGTTGTCATGTATTACAGAGGGTAACTACAACTTGCCTAAGCGGGGATTGAGTTGAGAAGAAGGGTAAGTTTCCCTATTCCCCGCTTGGCTACTATAAAAAGGAAGTGTACTGTACAGTTCATAACGTGACTCCGGGTAGAAGCCGAGCATGTTCCCGCGACTCGGAAAAGGTGTCACATGGGTTAAGGCGAGTTGCTCGCCTTAACCCACGTGATTTTTCCCGCGGGCTCACATGCGGGCTGAAGTTGTGAGAGGTATGTAGGGATGGGGAGGTCTGGGAAGGTGGTTCTGGGGTGTGGTTGGGTGCCCTGACAGCGGGGTCAGGGGCCGATCCCTGACAATGTGATAGGTAAAAAATCTTAATACCTAGTTCTCCATTTCAAGACTGAGTTATGCACGATAGCTCCTATTTCATTACAAGGGCCCACCAGACCGTTCGCAGCCAAGAATACCAGAGGGCACCTTCCAGAAGGGGCAGCAAAGTGCTCAAACAAGTGGTGCTTGTGTGCATGCCGGAGGAGACACAATGAGATAGCATGGCAACAGTCCCGGCTAATGCCAGAACCTCTTAAAATTGAAGACGACCTGGCTAAATTACAACAGGCAGGAGACTGGGGACGGAGGAGGGTAACACGAAAAACAAGGATAACGAGGAACAAGAGGGAGAAGAGCAGAGGTTACAAAGAGCAAGGAAACAACCGAAGGTAACGAAACCTAGGAAAAAACCTGAATAAGCAATCAGGATCCCACCCACCAAGTAACCGAAGGTCACAACACCTTCCCCTCAGCGAGACCGAAAAGCTTACCGGAAACAAGAAGACAAGCAAAAAACTTCAACCAAAAACAGCTTGCAGGCCAAAGAGAACAAGACTAAGAAATAAAAACATCTTCAGCAGAGGTCGAGGTAAAGTGGGCTAGAGCCCAGTAGCATAGGCGGATGAACAACACGTACAGAATTCGTCCAAAGAAATCGATCCAGGAATGCAGCGGCAATTAACCTGAATCGGCATGACTGCAACCTCGGAAGGCACAGTATGCGTAAGGCCGACAGCGGGTACGGCGCATAAGATGAAGCATCACCAGGGATTGTGCCAGACGCGAAAGAAAAACAGAGAGCGCGTTTTTAGACCGACCACACACAAGTCTAATTTAATCTCGTACCTCCATTAAATAACAAGATGTCGATCAAGTCTAGACCTTGTTTCAACAACAACACTGCCACCGTGGCAAGTGAAACCACATGAGATCTGTCATTTGCTGCGATGCGTGAGGGAGGGCCTCCAGTCGAGGTCGACCATTTTTCTCTCCCCGTTAAATTTTCTCCTCACGCGTGCACCGAGCAAACTGATGTGCTAAACTTCCGACCGGATATCCAATCCTCACTCAGATGGGTATCCGTCGTCGAAGCGCCCGCTCGATTCCCCATTCAGTACGTGAGTGCCCACTCCAAGTCCACCTTATTGCATGCATCAAGCATTTGACATCACTTTCTTACAGTTCACCCCAGCGATTCTCGAGATTTTACTTCACCCTGAACGCAACACCTCCCTTATTCTACGAACTGAGGTGCTCTCCGATGGGAAACCCCTTAGTGCTCCCAAAATTTTATCCTCCATCAGTGAAATGAAGGCCGTTCGCAACATGGTGAGACGGCTGATTCCGCGAATGCCACAGAGAGATCGAGGTGTCGATCAGGATTGCACGTTCCTCGTGGCTGATGCTCACAGTATGGAGCATGAAGATGGAGCAGAGGACGTGTCTCTGGTCATTCTGAGCCCCAGGATTGAGATCGATCCCGAAGACGGGAAGGAAATCACGCTCCCATGGTATCATCCACGTGTGCGACACCTTGCTTTTCGCTATACCACCAACGACAGCGGAGAGGCGTCGCTGAGGATTGAGATAATCCCTTTGGATTCAGCTGCGGGGACCTCTATAGGCTTGACTGATAATGGAGGCGTGGACACAACTTCACGTCTATATCGGACATGCGTTAGTCTTCTTGAGACTATATTCAAGTATGGTAGGGGCAAGATGACAGGATATAAGAAACGTGTTATTCATGATGTGCGAACTTCGCCCTTCATTCGTTGCACAAGATTGATCGGGTTTTTTAAGACTCTCGTTCCACGAGAAGAATATCAAGATCTGTATCTAATTATGCGAGAAAAGTTTAAAAGCATTGCTGATACTTGGCATGAGGCTACCGACGCCTCTAAGCACGTCTTTGAGGTGCGATTCTCTCCCTTCTGTTCTTGTTTGCATGTCCGAGCTATTCCTTCTGTCACTCAAGGATATATCCATAGCGACATTTCTAATGCTGCTATGGAAGTACACCTACCCAGCCTCCCCATATACCAGTTCGACTTCATCCAACCCGCACGAGCCATGGTATTCGTGGGGAAGACCACCGGAAGGGTTTCTTGACTTGGGGTTAGCGACGATCGCTGTGGATTATGACGGACCCTCATTTATTTCACAGGTGTGGCAACGGCCTCCTAGTTCATATCCTTATCGAATGTGGATATGAAGGTCTAGGGGTGGACCTGCGGGCGCGCAAATCATGGCCCCACTACCCATCCACGACACGCGATCGCCTATTCGTCCATGCTTTCAACCCCACGATCTCTTGTCTCCGCGTTCCCATCCCTCCCGCTTCCACAGACAGCCATCACAAAAAAGATGACCATACCGATGGTCCTGACACCATTGAGCGAGATATGTTTCCTAAGACGAAATCAGGAAAGGGAAGATTCATTATTGGGAATCACGCAGACGAGTTGCAACCATGGGTTCCTTTACTTGCTGCCTTGACAAGCGCGGAGTATTTGAGTATTCCGTGTTGTACCTGGGAATTTGACAAGAGGTTTCAACTGAAGAAAAGGCATGGTGGTGGGACGAAAGGCCAGAAGACGGAAGCTAATGACGAAGGGGACGGCGCGGATCCAGATGCTCTTAATGAAGGTGCGGATAGTTCTTCAGCAGTCCGACCACCGGAGGAGGTGGAGTTGGAGAGGAAATTGAGGTTTGATGAAAAGGATGGGAAGATGAGCTTGTATGCTTGTGAGTGTCTCCCATTTATTCTACTGGATGCCGGAGATAAGCTGATTGGCGATCGTGGTTGCTGCAGCGTATGTGTTGTGGCTGGCCACGTTGTCGGAAGAGTGTGGGTTCGTCATTGAAACTGAGGCATTACGGATACCCAGTACGAAGAATAGGGCGATCATAGGTAACATTATTTCTCTTCTCAATGAAGGTCCATCCGATTCCATCGCAATCTTGTAGGGCGTAAGCAGAAAGCAAACGCCGACGTCGGTGCCATCAAGGCCAGTATAAAGGCCAGAGTGGAGTACATTCGGGCAAGAGGTCTCTTCAAAATAAGAAAGCCTGAAGGGGATGCAGGACTTGAGGTAAGTTTACCAGCGAGCTACATTTTCGTTAGACAAAGACAGGCTAAGCGATGGGTTGTAGATAGAGGACAGAAATTCGGGACAACCAAAGTATGTATCTGTCATCTACTCAGATTCATGCAACCACCGAGGATCCCTCCAGAAAGAGTCCCGATCGTTTGCATAGCCTCAAGTATGGCGAGCTGAACGCCAACGCCCCCACAATAGGGGAGTTTCGACTTGGCGATCTAGCTTGGGGCCCCGTCCAAAGTGTCGCCCCTAAGCTTGGATGCGGACCACGTCTGCCGATTACCACCAAGACCTCTAAGCCTGTACGGGCGTCGAGGTTGAGTACGAGCCATTCTGTCGCTGATTAACGAAGCACCCCTTCAAACGCTGATATGAGACTTATCATGCGCTCGGCCGTTTTGATCTGACAGTTCGTTTGCAGACGCCAAACCGGAGGAGGACCTGGCTTTTTACGATCTGTCTTCGATCATTGCATCCCACGCTCCGGCCTCTCGCGTCCCAATTATATGCTGATGTGGCTAAATGAAGCAAGATTACTTTATATGGAATCGTCCCGTGGGGCCGCTGAATCAGCCAACCCCACAAATTTAATATTAACGGAACCTGACCCAGTGACCTGAATCGTCGGCATGTATAAAAGGCTGCTTGCTGTGATATCGTAAACTCCTAACCCCTCTTTCTCACTTTTGAGTTGGTTGACTGGTTGAGTTTAGGCCGTTTAGGTTGTATAGAAGCAAGGACTAAGATTGAAATCCTCCATAGCTTGCACTTCCGTGGTGGAAGATTACTTAAATCCGGGAGCTCCTTCATCAGCACCTCACTAAACGACCGACAATCCCCGCAAGCCGATCATTAATCGTCATGGCTGAAGTCGAGACTCAGGCTGCTCAGACCGTTGAGATTCATGATTGCATGGTTTGCGCGGCGCATTTGCAGGAAGTTGTAAGTCTTATCGTGATCCCCCCGAGTGCGTCGTGGGAGTTAACGTGTCCTGCCGATCGGGGTTTCTTTCTTCGTGCTTGTAGTGTGCGGACTGCGATTATGATGGGCGGGAGGATAACGATGCCTTCTTTGGGGTACGTGAAACTCGATTCATGCCGATCAGTGTTATCGCGATCTTAAGCGCTCGTGTTCATCCGCCGTTCCAACAATGACACTTATATCATCACTCGAATTCGGTTCTTCTTGCCAACGCCTGGCTGTGTCAATTATTCATAGCTGGATACGATAGATCGGGATCCTTTGAACATCCCTAACGCCTCAACTAACAAAGAAGGTAAGCCTCAGCAATGACTCACCATTTCTACTTTTGATGCGACGTTTCTCTTGTCATAGGGGTCTATCAGTACGTCACGTCTAATGCGGCCACAGTTTAATAGAGAACTGACACAGTCACATTGGCCCGTAACTGTCTGTTTGCGGGACTCGCAGATGTAAGAAGCATTCTAACCCAAGTAAGTGATTCGTCAGTACCTTCCATTTCGGCAACTGACCACACTCGATATCATCCGCGCCCAATCGTCTCGGTTCGCACTGCCAGAGTGTCCTCAATGTTTCGGGTTCGTCCCTCCCCGTTTTCACCCCACTGGTGTCCTTATCTAACCGGATGTTTCTTCCCAGATGGAAGAAGCAAATCCAGAAACTTCAAAAGGAAGCCAAGAAGGCGGGAAAGAAGAATCAGGGCTCGGCTTCCAACTTCTACTGAGCCTGCGAGTCTTGGGAGGTGATTTGGCTAGCCTGAGACATGGACCTCTCCGTCGCTATCTCCGCGCATGAATACACCCTCGGAGCTGTGGCCACAACTCGCAGATGAGCGCGGCGCAAGCCTACCTCCAATTTCTTATGTAACATCATATACAATGTGTACCTTTCCTTCAGCAACATCTCATGCTAGATGATTTTGCAACATGGCGGCTACAGTACGTGAAATAGTCGAGTCCCGTTCGGGGTTGCGTGGTTTTTGCGACATGCCGTGGCCGAAAGTAGGTCAAGTCTGGCGATAGGCAACGTGAGGCTCAAGCCAGGTCACAACCTAAATCGCCACGGAAGATAACTAAGTTTGTTATGACCCTCAAATCGCCCTTACGCCGACCCGAAAAGCGCGATTTCTGAGTTGCTGCAGGGCACCAGTTATCAGAAATGGTAGGTCAGGGAGTGCGATGCTGCTTCGTATGCGGAGGCTCGTCCGGGGCATGCTTCATTTCCTGCTTCAGTTGCTACCCCAAATGACGTTTTTGAGACTAAGGTGGACAACCCACACGCTCGCAAGGCACGGCTGGATAACCATAACCCCTCCTGCTGGCTTCGAACGTAATTTGAATGACCGATGACTGTATGCCGAGCACCCATTGACGACATGTGCCGAGGAAGTTAAGGGTTCGATCTCAATAGTTCGGAAGATCTTTTGGAGAACAACGGATTCATTTGAGTTCGTCCACAGGTCCGTTTCCCTCGTGAAGCTTGAAGCCGCCCACGGAAAGGTAAGTGGGAACACGCTTAGGGCGCCTAGTGGATCGGATTCGGATCCATCCGGACTGGGGATTCCTCGAAAGTGTGCAGGTTGAGGGGGCGATCTGAATGTGCAACATCCAAGTGGATCACATCAGGTCACAATCCATTGGTTTGGCCTCACTTTTACCCCCAGTCCAAGTCTGCACACACTGTGAGAATTAAGGGTAATCCGATCCGCTAGGAGCCCTAAACACGCTATCTCCAATCACACATTGTGCCGATCAGAGCTTAGAGGAACCTTCCTTTAGGGTTTGGCAGACGCTATGCAATGGAAGACGTCCATTGTCGACGCTTCGGCGGCTAAGTGGCGGGCAGGGGAGGAATCGCACGCACCCTTGGCAGCTCCTCTTAGTTGGTCTCATATGATGCGAAAATTAATAATTTCGCACATAATATCGCTTGCAGCTAATGGGAAGAACTGAGAGTCTTTCCAGTAAAGGCATTATGTACCTAGGATAAAAACAGGAGTAGGCAACGGGCATTTACGTTTGGTCGTGGCGGATCAATCGATGGGCTAGAAATTTCCTTGATGTTCAAGACATCGACCGTTGTCTCTATTCCCTCTAAATCCTGCCATGTCACAGAAACAAAACAAACAAACGACTGAAGGACCTTTGGGACATAGTCGAAGGGAGCTCATGCAAAAACATTTCTCCCACATGCATCTATGACATTATCTTTAACCGAGGGACATTCAGATATTGTTGGATTGGGAGGCAAGCTTATGTATCATTGTCATTAAGCCCTGCGAGCCATCTTACTAATAGCATGGGAGCTTGCGCTAGCGGGGAACCACTAGCACTGACCGGCTAGCAGTAGTCATTATCCGAGAGCCCAGGCACGGCGCGCTCGTTCCTGAAGGGTCAAGTGACTTATGTAATGGATTCCCAGGAAGACATTCATATGGAAACTCCTGGGAATCCGAGGTAGGTTTCGTCGGGATCCCACCACTATATTATGGGTTGTCCAACGAGCTCGCGCGGCTACGATGAGAGAAGGCCTGGGTTCTGCTTAGATTTACACTAGTATTGTGCATTGCCAGCTATGCATTGTCTCACGTCACAACTCCCAAGCTTGCATTGTCAAGGCAACTGCTCTCGTCCTCGACAGAGTCAACGTGCACGGACGATCAGGAATGCTTTCACCTTCTCCCCATCCGTCAGAAACCTCGATGTGATTGACAGGTTCCAGTTTCCCTTCCATTATCGGGAGGTGGTTAGCAACATTAAGCGCTACCTTTCGACACAAATTCCACTCGTTCGTCACAACAGCTACGGTTATCCGCACATACCAGAGGGGAACTGTGATGAATAACAGAATTTTCATCAAGTTGTAATTTGATTTTGACGCTTGCCGAGAGCCTAATGTGCTTAACACACAGCAATCACCTTGACATGATGCCAGAGTCTGTGTGAACCGAGGAAGCGCAAGCGCTGGAACTATATTGATTTTCTGTTAGACACATGCGACAGGGTCACATCCCACGCTCAAACAACCTCCAAGTCGATTATGGAAAGTATCTTTTCATTTGGTCGCGAGGCACAACGGCATCGCACACTCTATGCAAATACACATAGATACAGACATTTCCCGTTCGGTGTCCCCGGTTGTCAACCTCTATCACTGAGTTATTAGGAATTTCAACATGTATCCTTCTTTGCTCTTTCGCGTTCACAAGCCCACTTTCGTCTCTCGTTCCCCTTCCCCTCCTTTCGTCTCTTCAACTCTCCGCTGGACCCCGACAGACGGGAAGAAAGCAAAGATCGGAGTACCTCAGGGCCACGCTTTCTGCCATCATATTCAGCCTTTCCCTTCCCTTAGTATCAACCCTGGATTCTCTGCTTTGATAGCTTGCTCGTTCTCTTGCTTGATCGAATATTTGGCTTGCACACACACTCTTTACTCAACTAAGTTTTGGCTTCGCGCTCTCTTTGCTCAACTAAGGGTTTTCACCGTGTGGGCTCTTTACATCGCAGCCCAATTGAAAACAACAATTGCCAACGTGGATATTGTGCTTAGGTACAATCTTGACGCGTGAGCGTGCTTTCTCTCCAACGATTCGTGATCCCTTGAGGGAGCGAGATGCGCAAGGTTATAGGGTTGCTTAGAGCGCCACATGCAGGTGTCTCCAATGCTCACCTTGCGGCTAAGCGCGGTCGAGTGGGGCGCAGGACAGGATACCCGTACAATAGAGGCGTGGGCAACGTTCATGGTGGTCAGACAAGTTCCTTGCTTCTCCAACCTCCTTCATCTTCCTCCCCATCTTCGTCTCCCTCCTCATCTGCGCCCTCCCCTTCATCTGCGCCCCCTTCTTCCTCATCCTCACCTCCGTCTCCCAGCTCAACGCCTTCGCCTACTACGCTTCCGCCTACTTCGCTGGAGGGTCACGGCCATGATAAAAGCACTCCAAGCACCCAAGCAACGGTTATACTCGATCCTTCAACTCCAGCCCCAATCCCCGCTCCTCTTCCTTCGCCCTCCCCTTCATCTTCCAAAGAAGGGGGAAATCCCCTTAAAGGAGGAAACAAAACCGTCGTGACCACTGATCCCTCCCCCACTTCCACGTCTCCTACGTCTTCATCCCCGACTTTAGATCTGTCGAGCCCCAACCAGACACCGGGTCATGGTAAAGGTCCATCAGATAAAGTCCCTGGTAATTTCAATTCCTCTCCAACTCCTTCTCCGACCCCTTCTCCGACCCCTCCTCCGACGTCTTCTCCAGCCTCTTCTCCAACCTCTTCTCCGCCTTCCAAAGGCAAAGGGAAGCTAGCTGGCGACATTGGAAAAGTTGTCCAAGATTCAACTAGTGTTCTCATTTCCACTCCCGCATCCCAGGTTCTGTCAGACGCCACTTCGACATCAGACAAAAACCCAGGCCATTCAAAGGCCAGTCCAGATCCTTCTCCTCCAGCTTCCAAGGGCAAGGGAAAGCTCGACAACAACGTAGGGACTTCGCTTGTCGGGGATTTAACCAATACTCCCATCCCCACTTCTTTCGCCCCTCCCTCCGACTCATCTGAAGCCCCGTCGAAAACAGGGGATAGGGGAGGTCATGGGACTGGTCCTCTGGATACAACCTCTGTCAATCTCGATCTCTCTCCAACCTCTTCTCCGCCTTCCAAGGGCAAGGGAAAGCTAGGAAAAGTTGTGGATGATTCAACCAGTGCTCCCACTCCTATTCTAACGTCTTTCACGCCTCCCTCCGCCTCATCTGATCCTCCGTCGGAAACGACAACTGATGGAAAAGGCCATGGGAAGGGTAAAGTCCTTGATAATATTGGTCCTTCTTCGACCGCTTCTCTACCTTCCAAAGGCAAAGGAAAGCTAGGAACAGTAGTCGATAATCTGACTAGCGATCCTGTTTCCACTCCCTCTGCCTCACCTCAAGATCCGTCAACAACAAAGACTGATAAAGGAAAAGGCCACGGGAAAGTCCTCGACAACCTCGGTCTTTCTTCAATCCCTTCTCTGCCTCCCAAAGGCCAAGGAAAGCAGGGACACACCGCAACGAGTGATCTTATTCCCACTCCCTCCGTCCCACTTGAAATCCCGTTAAACACAGGAACCGATAAGGGAAAAGGCCATGGGAAGGGTAAGGTCGTCGACAGCGTCGATTCTTCTTCAACGATTTCTCTACCTTCCAAAGGCAAGGGAAACCTAGGAAAACTCCTCGATAATCTAACTAGTATTCTCATGCCCACTCCATCGACTGACGCCCTGTTGGAAACAAAGACTGATAACGGGAAAGGTCATGGGAAGGATAAGGTGCTCGACAGTCTTGGCCCTTCTCCGACTCCACCTTTCAAGGGCAAGGGGAAAGTCGACGATAATTTAACTAGTGCTCTCGTTTCCCTTCCCTCCGTATCGACTGACGTCCCGTTGGCAACAAAGACCGATAACGGGAAAGGTCATGGGAAGGATAAGGTGCTTGACAGTCTTGGCCCTTCTCCGACTCCACCTTTCAAGGGCAAGGGGAAAGTCGACGATAATTTAACTAGTGCTCTCATTTCCCTTCCCTCCGTATCGACTGACGTCCCGTTGGCAACAAAGATCGATAACGGGAAAGGCCATGGGAAGGATAAAGTGCTCGACAGTCTTGGCCCTTCTCCGACTCCAACTTCCAAGGGCAAGGGGAAAGTCGACGGTAATTTATCTAGTGCTCTCATTCCTACTCCCTCCGCATCGACTGACGCCCTGTTGGAAACACAAACCGATAACGGGAAAGGCCATGGGAAGGATAAGGTGCTCGACAGTCTTAACCCTTCTCCAACTCCGCCGCCTTTCAAGGGCAAGGGGAAAGTCGACGGTAATTTAACTAGTGCTCCCATTCCCACTCCCTCTGCACCATCGGAAGCCCCGTCAGAAACAAAAACAAAATCGGATGAAGGACAAGGCCATGGAAAGGGAGTTGTAACCAAAGTCGTTGATGACACAGGCAAAACGATTAAGTCGGTTGTGAGTGATAAGGTCGGAGGTGGGACCGATAGTAGTTTGCATGGATCCGCTACTGCTACTTCAAACAGCCCCGCTTTGACGCCTCCTGTTCCTCAACCCACTAGTGCTCTTGGAGGTCGGTATTTACATTTCCTTGATGCTATCCCATTTCTCTTTTCTGACTCGAAAACTTTTCATCTGTCTTTTTATGGGACGTTTTCTCTTTCGTTTGCGATTCCATATTTTTCATCCTGAATTTTTTTCGTGTGCTACCAGGATCTACTTCAAGGATATCTAACCATAGGCCGCCTCCTTCACCTCAAACGTCAAACCCTAGTGATGGTGAAACCTCCAAGTGGGGTGGACGCAGTACCTCGAATGGTGATGACAATCATCATCATGGAGGCAGCAGTACCACGAACGGCCTTGAAGGATCGTCCATTAGTGGTTCTACTCCGAATCATACCCCTTATCTTGCCCGTCCCTCGCCTCCTGATACTACCACTTGGGATGTGAAACCTCATCCTGCCACCACAACATCCGCCTCCAGAGGTAGAGAGACCCCCAGTTCTTCGACTCCTACGACCATCATGTCTATCTCTTCGGGGGTGTCCTACACTGTCTCTAACGGGATCACAGTCCCTCTTTCGATCGTAACAGCAACGAGCGATGGATCTGTAATTACAGTTCCTACCGCACTTTCGGAATCGATCTCGTGGATCGTTTCTACCTCCGGCACGAAGGTCCTCACGATTCCCACCATACTCCCTGGAAGTCCATCGTCTGTCAGTGTGATGCCTCAATTGGGCAGGCAAACGGATACCACGTCGTATACCGGAAGTATGTACTATTCTACTGATAGTACAGGCGGGATTTGGGGACCCTTCCCTACAGATGGGGGTGGTACCACGGGTCCGGGCCGAGGAGGTACGGGCAGCATGTCAACGTCGAAGAGGGGGCTTAATCCTGTCATTTGGTCTGTCATTGCTATTGCGCTGGTTTTCCTTTTGACATTCCTTGGGTTGGTTCTGAAGAGGAAAATGTATGCCAGACAGCGTCAGGCCAGGATTCGAGAGTGGAGTGCTGCTTCTGGGTGGACGGAGGGTGTTGAGAGGGGGATTGAAGGTGGCCCACAGGTTTATGCCGCGGGTGCGGTGGTGGGAGGGAAAAAGAGGAGCAGAGGTATTGAGGGTGGAAGACATCTAAGCCAGGATAGTTTCTCGACGCCCGAACAAAGTGTCATTCGAGGAGTTTGGGCAAGAGACTCCATGCAGAGTTTGGCTCCACCTCCGTCTGTTCGTCTGTCCGACCCCCTTTGTCAAAGATCAGTTCCTCTATCTTGAGCCGGACCTCGTTTGATGCCGCTGGGTTTGGCATGAGCGCTGGTGAGAGGAGGGCGTCTCAACTTGAACAGCGACGAGAGCAGTTATCGACAGTAGAAGGCGCGAGATCTGGTTCACCCGAGATGATCCAGATTCCACCTCCTGCTTCTAGTTCGTTGACTCCTGGGAGGTGTCGTACTGCTGATTTGACGCTCTCTCCTACTTCGCTGTTCCCCGCTACTGGGGGGCTTCTTCATGGAGACCCTTTCGCTGACCGTCCACACGATAGACGCAGCGATGATGGGAGCACTGTTTCCCCTATGTCGTTTGAATTTGGGGATTTGACGGCGTTTCCCACACCCCCTGGTTCTGTTACCCTTGGAATGACGCCTAGAAGCCAAGGTGGTGAGAGACCGTCATATTGTCGTTCTCAGGGTTCATCAGAATTGGGATCTGATGGATTGGCACCCATCCCTCGAACGCATGAAGGTGTATCGGTTCACGAGGATCCATTCGCTGATTATCCCAATGCAATGCCTTCGCCTATACCTTCTTCAACTGAACGATCAATGTTTGGCAACGGTGTCATGGCTAACCATTCTTCCACTTCCCTGCCGACCAGTGTTCACCGAGCTATTATTGGACCAGGGATGTCGAGTTCGAGAAACGGCTCTTCCAATGCACAAGTTGTACGCCCCTGGAGCCCCACAGCTCCAGAGGAGATAGCTGTAAGTTGTGGTGAAAGTGTACGTGTTATCAGTTGCCATTCGACCCTCGGGCGTGGAAGTCCATTTGGTCAGGACACCGGGGGAGGGTGGGCCTTTGTGAAGAAGACGGAACCTGACACCGGGTTAGTCAGGAGAGGGTTTGTCCCTGTGAATTGTTTGATGGACGGACCCAGTCCCAGAAGCACCGCTGGGTCTTGTGGTCATTCTGTAGTCTCCGGAGGTGGAAGTGCTTATGCGGACGCGGACGTGCTGCCGGGCACAGCGTGAGTATATCAAGCTTCATCTAGTCCTGAATGGGAGATTACTGACACGCTCCCTTTGCAGGCTGTGACCTCTCCTCCAAGTCCCGCATCAGAAATATGCCATACTTTCTAACGTTATCTCGCTGCCAGCTGGCATCCACTCGTTTTTCGAAACTTGGTGGTGGGGGCGCCATTTGTCCTTTTGTTATAGAACGCACCCGTTCTCGCCTTTACCTTCAATCATCGCAGTGGCATTCGATCGTGTATCTATTTTATCAGTCTGTTTTCCCCAAGGCTTTGATTCCTTTATTTATTATCGCCTCACCTTGACAGTTGCTTTCTTTGTCCATTGAATGGATTCAGTTGCGGCCGCCACAGCTTTCTCGTTCGTGAGTGTCCGCACGCACACCCTCTCTTATTTGCCGGTTCTTGTGTGGGTTTTGTTATACTCCAAGCGACCCTGTCAGCTCAAGCCTGACTGAACTTATTCTTCACGCTCCACCATAATCCCAACCTTACTCTTACAACGTCTTATTCTTTACTCCGGAATTTGGAAAGAAAAGGTTTCTTGCTTAGAATTTTACTCAAAATACCTCCGACCGACGACGATCCTTTTAACATGACGCTCGTTTATAAACCCTCGCATGCTCTCAACAAAATTGATTGTATTCCCTCGATCATAGATTTGATCAACTTGAGTTCTAGACATCACAAGTCACAAGTGGCAATACCAGTCTACAGAGGCCAATGAAAGGCACGATACTAATGTAGCTGCCTCGTTGGGTTCGGAGACAATCCAAGCGCCAAAAGAAAAACAAAGATGAAAATCAACTGGACAAATGAAAGTCTTTCCACCCACAATAATATCCGCGACAGGAGCCATGCCAATGTTTGGAATACCCAAAGTGTCGTATAAAGTAAGGGAAGAGACGCGAATAATGCAAATATCGGGGAACGATGCGACCCAAGGTACAGTTGAGCGGTCCTTGCGAAGAGTCTGAATGACTGTTGAACCCTCCAAACCAATAGCTTGGAGGGGAGGATCGTCTCTCCGTGATACTGGATATAGACTCTGCCACTCAAAGCGAACGCATATAACTCGTCGTGCCGTCCCCCGGGTCCATCATGCTTTCCCAGCCAGCCGTACGTTGACCCTCTGACGTCGTATATCTCCAGCTTCTTCATTATTCGGGGTGAAAAAGTGGTCCTGGGATCAACGTCGCTCCCCATGCGATACACAATGGGGCCTTGGAAATCATCGGGGAGATATACTTGCACGTCACCGTATTTGCTGAATAAGAGCATTCGTACGGCGTGCTCATCTCTGCTGCTCTGAGACGAACAGAATTCCAAGGTGTGTTAATCGATGAGGAGCAACCAACTTGTTCAAGAATACTTACAATCCGAAGGACTGTATCCTTCTCCGCAGCACAGAAGATCGCAGCCGATTCATGATGGGTACCTTCGGGCTGGCAGGCCTCTCCACTGGGTCGACTGGTGCCAATTCCCACAGTGGCATCAATTTGGGATGCAGACTGGAGATTCAGGTTGATTCCATCCAAAGGAGCGCCGCCCTCATCTGACAGGATCCCCTCCGCTTCACTTCGTAGTCGTTCCAGTCCACTGGCTCGCCTTACCCCAGGGGAAAAGACAGGTCGTGAAATGTGTGGATCGATCAACCATTTCCCAGCGATACGTCGAGTCGTCTCAATGTGAATGTAATTGACCCCGTTCCACATTGAGGAAGCTATCAGTGGAATCAGCACATGCCGAAAGATGGTTCAACAATTAACGCATCCAATACCTTCGTCGTTAGGCTCGCGATCGAGTTCCTCGGAAGAAGGCCTCGAAGAGGACGTGTCTTGCATTTCAGATACCACCTACAGTTGCCTTAGTAGTTGGAGACAGGTGCAGATAAAGAACGACATTGACATACTTCACTCATTAGATCTGTGCTCGCGGCTGGGACAGGGTCAAGGCAAGATGACTTGGATTGCCCGATAAGACCCCTCAGGGGCCAATAAATCAAATAGTGTTATAGCGCTTGAAGATGTAATCGAACCAAGTAAGGTCACGCCTTGGCGGAGTTGTCCGACGTGTTGGTGGTTCCTCTGCCCGTGTGGGTGATACGAGAGCAAAGGCCAGACGTCGAAATCAATGTCTGACCAGGTACATAATATCTATTATCTAGTGCTCGCCATTCATACACTCCCAACATTCATTCGGGCGCTGACCGACATGATCATGGTTTGCCCAAAATGAATTGGTCAGGGCGTTAAACTACAGGAGGTCTTCGAAGCTATCCACACGCCCGGACCGGAAGCGAATTGTGTGGAGTGGAGCGAATAGAGGCTGGTAATCTGCCTAGTGGAGGAAGGCTGCCACATTTTCAATCGACGAGTTACAGCATCGCACGGGTTATAAGACACATCGTACTGGCTTTGACATGATCACGACAGAGGCTTGTCGATTGGCACGAGTCTGGCGGGTCCGACACCCAACCAACACCAAGTCGCTTCCGGCAGTCAAATGGCTGTATCGCTGTATTAGCGCGTAACCAGTAACAAAGCAGAGAAACCAGTGTGGCTAGACAGTAGGGCTCCAGCCTCTATGGCTTCGTAACAATATAGCTAGGGCTAGGCAGGGGCGCCACCATCCCCTGTGAGGATATGGTACCGAATTCGATTCACGACACACCAAACGTGGCACGTGGCGCAAACCCAACGCGGCTACCAATATGGTACATACCGCAGAGTGTGCCTGAACACACCCTTTGCCAGTGACCGCTATCATGATCGAAACTTCTCACGACAGAAGGGGTAGGTGAAATTTGGCAGTCACCAACTTTTTCGGCATTTCGGCAGGAAATGACCAAACAAGTGAGAACTAAGGAAGAATTGGCATCTGTCGTATGCGGCTAAAATTACATCCCACCTCCTTTCGACAGCAGCAAGCAAGGTCGCTGTTGTCACCGTTTTTCCCGAAAATTGTACCACGGCACACAAACCCAAAAATAAGGGTAAAATAGCATATGGTCTCCTCGGCCAAGTGATATTCTGGATCTGGTCATGCTTTCAGCCATGCATGAAAGCGCGATTTATAAATAAAGACTTAGATCCGTGATATAATCAGGCTCTGTGTACTCGGGCGAGCGCACAGGCTTTAGGTTGATTCTCTTCCTGATCTTACTGCCTTGCATTTATATGAAGAGCCCTGAGCTTGGCCCTTCGACCGAGCAGCTAGACTTGGACCTAGAGTAGCTGAACAGGTTGAATCCCTGTAACGACACCCGCACTCTTGATTCTGGACCGACTACAACATCGCTGCTTCATCAGGGGGAATGGATGAATGGTAGAACAACTTGCAAGTTACCATCTTCATTGGTTTTGTCTCCCTTAGCAGATGGGGTTATGTACAATGGCTGTTGGGCTCGACCTTCGTACCATGATGTATGCTCGTTGGCTAGGAAGCTGTACGATCTCAACACTATACTGAAGATTGGAATCTGGTCTATGCACGACTATTGGCGTCTCCACTTCTGCGTTGATTAGCAAATCTGGCCGATAAGTGGTGCATGGTCTGCCCATTAAAGCCTTTCGACCACCACCCATGACCCAGATGGATGAACAATCTTCCTGACTTTCGGCCTCTTCTTAATGCTGTCATATCATTTATACGGTGCTCGTACCCAGCGTTTAACAACAAAGGTTGAACCAGCTTTGAGCATTTAATGAGCTCCAATGATAGGCCCGATGATTTATCCTGACTCAAGGGTTTTCGAAAATGACCACCAACTTTAGTTCATTCCTTAGCTGATCGGACCTCACCTCCACTGGCATACACCTTGGACGGATGAAAATAATTCTGGGATTCGGATCAACCGTCGTGCATGTCCTTACGAATCAGTTTGCGTCTCCCGATCACAAAATACACGTGTAAATGGCAGGGCCGTCAGACGGGGTAGTCGCTTTGCAATGCGACAAGGCCAGCAAGGTGCTGTAGAACCACTGCCGCCACAATACGCAAAACGAGTCCCAAGCTCTGTCAACCACCTTAGTACTGACCTCACCAGAAAAACGATGGTGCGCAGGTCAAAGCAAACAGTGGGAACCCATTCCACTCCATGCACTGTTGAGCCTTCCTGGTGAGACCAACCTCAATGCCCCCCCCCCAACACAGAAGTAGGGATCCACTCTCTGTGATAGAGAATGTATACTCTGTCATTCGACGCGAAGATGCATAATTCATCGCCCCCTTTCCGTTGCGATCTCCTAGCAAACTATTCGTCAATGCCGCAGGGTAAATCCTGTACCTCGAGGCTCTCCTTTACTCGGGATGACAAGATCTCGTGCACGTCAACGCCGCTGAGCATTTGGTGCGTAGTTTTTGCCACAAAAGTTGTCCGGGAGGTACACTACACTACAGCATCACCATATTTACTGAAGATGAACAATCGTACAGCATGCTCGATCTAAGTCATAGTGTGGGATCTCGAAGTGAAGAATTCACGTCACAACAAAGAAGGGGACTTACAAGTTGGAGGATGGTACCTTCGCCTGCATTGCATAAGATCACGATTCCCTTGTGACGGCCCCTCGTCGCAAGCTCCCCCATAAGGCTGACCGGAGCTTCAGGTTGTAGGTTATCTAGTCCCAACGAAGCCCCTCATCAACCAGTACTACACGTCCTTGTTCACCAGATCTGGCTCGTGGTATACCATTGTGAAATTTGGGCTATGAGGCGTAAGGATTCTGCACTCTAACTATACGCCCTCGTTGACCGACTCTAGATCGTGACGAGTGGGGATCAATCAGCCAACTGTCAGTGATGCTGCGAGTCATTTCATGCCAGTCCATGCACATAGTTCGTTCTGTTCATCATTAGTCAACCTATTTGACGGGCTTAGCACATGCCGCAACTTAACACAGCAAACCCTTTCGGCCTCTCTCATACCAGTAGAGGGGCGCCTACATATAGCGGTTGACTCCCCATCATCGCAGCAAAGACCTGAACCGAGCTTTGACCCTCTGTCATTTCTCCCTGCCTGTCTGAGCCCAACGACAAACTGGATAACTTATCCGGATAACCAACTTTCAGTTCATTCCCTAGCTGATCAGTCCCCACCTCGTACACACCTTGATTCCACAAAGATTTGTGGTCAGTCCTTAAAAAATCGATTTGCGTCTCTCGATCACAGAATGCTTGGTCGAGCAGCTTTTCTCGCATTCATTAGTGATCTGCAGCAAGCAGAAACGTGATATTCGGGTGAAAATGTCATAAGGAGATGATGGTAGTTACCCCGCTGTCCTGTCAGCCACGTTGCAGTACGATCCGACAGGGCCATTCTAATGTGCTACTGTGGGTTGTAAACATTCCGAGTAACAATCGGTTTCTATACAAAGATCCACCTGACAATGGAAGTAAAGATGATGAAGCATGGTTCTGACAGCACCCAAAGAACAGGAGAAAAGCAAACAGTGGGCCGACGTACTCCACGAGGCATTGTTGAATTTTCCAGGCAAGAAGATAAGAAGTGAGGATCGACTCCCCATGATAGAGAATGTGTACTCTGCCATTCGGCGCAAAGATATATAACTCGTCCTCTCTCCTATCGCTGTCACGATCCCCTAGCCAGCTTTTCGTTAATCCTGTGGATTGGATTTCGTATTCATATAGGCTCTCCACCACTCGAGATGAACAAGTTTCATGAATGTCAACATTGCTGAGCATTTGGTGCACAACTACGCCGCTGAAGTTGTCAGGGAGATACACTTGTACATCACCATATTTGCTGGACGCAAATAGTCGCACGGCATGCTCATCTCTCCTGCTCTAAGGTAACGATGTAACAATGTACTCGATGCGAAGAACAACAAAGTGACTACTTACCAAGTGAAGAATGATATCTTTTTGTGCTATGGAAAAAACCGTAACGTGATCATGACGGATACCTCCTCCAGACTCCTGGGTGCAGACATTCCCGTAAGGTCGACTGGAACCAATCTGCAAGGAAGCATCGATATAAGATGCTGACTGGAGCTTGAGGTTGTATCTTATTCCGGTCCGAGGGAACCACTCATGGATTTCTGCAATCCATTGTCCATCAGATCTGGTTTGTAGTGGCGTAGTAGCGTATGAGACGTGGAAGGCAAGAGAGTTGATTGATTTCTACATACTCTGGTCCACTAGGTCTAGGTCGCGGTACACCATTGTAGAATTTGGGTCGCGACACGTGAGGATCGATCAGCCAATTGCCAGTGATACTGCGATCTTTCGTTATGTCGACATAGTTCATTCCATTTGTCGGCAGCAAACCTATCTGACAAGATCAGTGCATACCCGAGCTCACGGAAAATATACCCCATACACGAGTCCTCACAGGGCATATCCCTCAGGCTCTTTGGCGGTTTGCTGGGGGCTCCTAGGTCCAAGACTACGTGATGGCCTCCAGATGCCATCTAATGCGCCAATGATCAGCAAATGAGTGGAAGTGCTTCATCTGACTTACCTTAAGGCTGATCGCTTGTGTGTTGGTAAGTAGAGCGCACCGCCTTGGCACGTGTACGGTCTCGACTGCAAAAGGCAAGTGTGCATCTTCGTGTGGCTTTTGCGCTGCTCATTCACATCCTGAACCGCCTCGCGCTAAGTTCACTCTGCCGGAACTATAAACGACATTCGCACACTGGGTGGACTCAACCTCAGGAGCCAAGACAATTGGCCTTTAGCCATCCAAAAGTTCGCTGGATATAGCGATCATGTTGACCAAGCGTTGCACGATGAGTCCTGTCCAAATGGCTTAAAAAGTAAGCGAAATGACACAGTAATTCGCCTCAACAATAACCATACAACCGTTTGCTAGAGCAGGATCAGCGGTTCCCCAATAGACTGAAGTCACTATTGTTCATCCCTAAGCTGGGTGAGTTCTCTCCCTTTTAGGACCACTTCCCATGTCCTCCATTTTGGCGTGAAGTTCAACGGTGTTGGCAATTTGTGAGGGGAGAGGTTCCTGGCCAGTAGAATCGCGATGTATGAAGCATAAATGGGGATACGCCCGCATTTCGATACCGGCAGGCGTAGATGTGCCTCCCATCAGTGAAGGAGCGCAGGAAGAAATTAGGGACATATGGCGTATCAATGCCTGCTGCTGACAAATGATGATGCACCAGCATAACTTCCGCCCCAGCAGATGGAGGAACCGAACAACTCCACGCGTCGCACCTCTGATCCATTGAAGCGGGTCGTCGTGCCAAACCGTTGGAGCGACGGGTGTCGTGAGGATCTGACGCCGGAGGCGTGTCAATGGAGTTACAGGCAGCATTCCTCGTTGCTTTGGTAGGTATGCGTTCTTCATCTATCAAATACAAGTGAACACTCATTTGCACCAGGACCCGAAAAATGGTGCCGTAAACTGGAGCACCACCTGAACATCCTCCCCGAAGGGGTTTGTCGTTCGCACCCTAATTGAGTACCGTGGTGCACACATGTAGCTCGTAGAAGTTCTGGTGAAGCAGCCAGGTTGAAACCCCGCAGACGATGCATGCGCGTACCAAGACGTAGAGGGCGCAGCAATCAGATCGATCAGCATGTCAAAATTAGTGAAACTGAGTAGAGAGTGCTAGTGCTTTTGGTCGGGACATTCAACATGCACGTTGCGGCTGATCACGGCGATAGAGCACAACAATGAACTCTTAATTCTCACCCACAACATCGTCCGGTCGGAGCCCCCTCGACCGCGTTATGCTGGAGTTGCACGCGAGGTAGCGTTGGGGAAAAACTGGGGAAACAGGCCTTTAAAACATTGCGTTTATCCTAGGCTTCCTGAGTAGCCCCATTTCGCAGGGAATCCTCCAATGACAGCAGCGAATTATCCCTTGTGTTTCAGGCTCCTTTCCAGAGCTGCAAAGGCCTTCATGCTCGCATCAATCGCCGTCTCTTGTGCATCTTCCAGATCGTCGATCAGCGGAACGGTGAGCTTTTCGGAGCCTCCTCCCACCATAGAAGACATCTTCGTCCGTTCTTTGGTCTTTCTCCGCTGCTCACGAAGTTTGCGGAGTTCATCGGGCCATTCATGTTCCTGCCATGCCTGTGACTGCGGTAAAGACTCGAGTTTAGCGAGTGCCGAGGTGAGGTTAATACGGAAAGACTTTTTTGCGTCCATGTAGATGTCGTATACGCATACAGCGCAGCCTGACATGCTTTTGGGAACAAGAGTAATTAGGGTACAAACACGGATAACGGAAACCAGTACTTGCCAACATTCTGCAAGGAGACATTCATTGAGGAACATTCAACACTGTGGAATAAAGACGCAACTGACCGTCCGCAGTAGGAGGGGTTGGCTTCTTCGGAACTTTGACACCATGGAATGACGTGTACTCCTGACCACCTCTAACTAGCCTTGACGCAGCAGCCTTAGTGCTTTCGTTGGCCAGTCCTTGGTCACTAAGCTTCGAAACTCCCACATCTATTGACGATTCTTCCGTTTGTGAAGGGCATGGCGCATGAGAGAAGCGTGCTGAGAGGTTTTGACCTCCCCTGAACGCGTGAAAATGTCGAGCTATTCGAGGTGTTGGATGCGTGCCAATGGCCGAATATGATGTTCGGGACAGATAAGAGTAGCACGGTCGACAAAAGAGCTTCTCAGGTGTCATGAACAATGGCCCAGCTGCCAAGAAGCTCTCAACTACGGAGAAATGTCAATGACCTTCCTGTGACCACATGACTGCTACGATAGTTCAATTTGACGACCGAGGCATGGCGATTTGTGATGCTTGCTTCCATGGACCCGAGCTTATGTGGTGTCTGATGCCTACCCAGTGCACGCGGTTCACAGTGGCTAATCCCAAGATCGCATAGGGAATCCTGCAAGAATCAAGGGGTTCGTCAACCCACTCACATTCGTGAACATTCTCTTCTGATTTGTATTGTACAGAAGGAATGTGCATTTGCATGCAACGTCGTGCAGTGCTACCGCCTCCTTTGAACTTTCTATAGGGAGGACTGTACTTGAATTCCAACCGTTTAATAACGAGGTACTATTCCAACCTCGTGGAGCACTTGTTCAGTAAGGCCTCAGCAATTCTATGTCGGAAGAGATGGCTTCCCCGTCGATCATCAGCTCTGCCTTTGGTTGATATTGGCCGTTGGCCTGATGAATTGGAGCTGGAAACGCACCATCACCTTCCCAGTCCCCGGAGCTGTGGATTTCCCAGTATCACTTCTCAGCGACCTTGCGAGAAGACATTTTACTTGCCTAAGCAAATACCCCAAACTTGGTGCCCACTTGCTATCCAGATTCTGCCAACCCAGATAAGAGCAGGCCAAGAAAAAAGGTTACAAACATGCACTCGCCCTTCGCTAACCTTACCGATGATCGGGGCACCGGTCTTACTCGAGTCAGGCCTGTAGCAGGCCTGAACGATAAAATCTGAGCGGTCAAATGCACCCTCGATCCACTCATCCTTGACCACTTGTCGAACACGTTCTTTCAGTCGCTCTTCGCCTTCGCTGTTATACTTGACGTCTGCGCAGCTGAGAGGAAGTGGAGTCTTGTCTGTGAGCCCCGCACCACATACGTAGAGCGTATTGTCGGGGCGAGGGTAGAATTCTGGCTGTGCAATTTGGCCGTTTGGAAGCACAAGCGTGCAAAATAGCGCATGTGGAGAAAATCTATGAGATGATGGTGGTGAGAGAACTATTGATGTTGACAGATTGCTGGTTGTGAATGTCAGTAACAGTGTCACAAAATATTTTTGAGAAGAGACTCGCCTAGATACAATGTCACCAGCAGCATCAGCCTTTCTTCCAAGTAATTTCTTCGCCAGTTTGCCTGTCCAAGGTCCTGCGGCAAAGACGACATCCGTCGCTCCTAGTTCAGTTACCTCTCCACTTTGTAAGCGGACATTGACGATGTTTGAACCCAGGCTGATAGATTCGATACCGTTCACTTCCCCCATGGTCACTTTGACTCGTCCCGTCTCCATCGCTAATTCGATCAAAGACTCAGACATTAGGAGAGGGTGAACTTGGGCGGTACTATGCTCTCCACCAAGGACGAGGCTATCGGCATCCTTAAGCCACTCAACCTCAAGTCCATTCACTGCGACTCTCCTGCTCCCACCATCCTCCTGCTCTTTCCCAATGATTCTGTCTATACCCAAGGTAGTAAGCTTTCGGTAACCCCATTTCTCTTGCCCATTATGTTCATCGGCAAGCTCCTCGTGTAGTCGAAAAGAGAGTTCGCCCAACGAAGCAGTTGGCTCAGCGTGCCAATCCTTAGCAATAAAGCCACCGCCTTTTCCTGACGCTCCAGCCGCGATCGATGATGCTTCGATAAGATGAATTGCAGTATTTCCTATCTAGTAAAACGAGATAAATCGGTATGCAGGCGTGTCTTCCAGGAAATCGTCATCTTTGAGTGGAACTGATGCACGAACGTTTGGATGGCGAGACAGGTAGTATGCTATCGATGTACCTATGATGCCCCCGCTATGATGCATGTGTCGGCGCAGGAGATCAAGATTGCGCAAGTTGCGAGCCAGTGTAAGTGGTTCTCGCCACTGGCCATCACTTACCCAATAATCACGATTGACCGTTTACCAGCGCTTGTATCATCCATCCAAATCGCGGTGAAACTAAATGATGTGCCACAACGGCAACGTAATATATGTTTGGCGCACCCTAGCTTGCCGCCCCTCAATTGTCGATCGCAAGGACATCGCCACCTCATGTAAACAATCGTACATAGAGAACAGTTTCTAAACAAGGTAGGACTCTAATGGTTATACTTTGGCAAGTACTTGTGCTGCCAATTCATTGTTGCTTTTTGCGTGACAAAGCCATTTTCAGCTATTGTCATGTGAGGCCGAGCGATCCGCCAAACGTTCGCTCTAGCGTGATCGCCAGTTGCACTCGCACGATGTTCGGCAAACCTGGACCCTCCAGGCTTTTGTCGCCATTTTCTAGGCAGGAACCTTCTGGACACCCCAATGATTCGTCACGGACCTCCGCCTCCCCGACTCCCGGGATCAAGATCACCGCTTCCCCTACTTTGATCGAAGGAACGATTTGTAGAGATCATGACAGATCCGCGCAATCTCTTCTCGGATCTCTTCTCGAGCCTCCTATTACCTCCGCAGCAACTCCGTCTTCTATCGGCAGCGGCGCTAGAGAATCAAAAAACGGATCCTCCTTTCGAAGCAGTATATCTGCGCGGTTTTGGAGAAGCCCAAGCCCCGGTCCTAATCAGGGCAACAAGTCAAGTGTGTCCCATCTGGAACAGCCCATTCCCGCTACCCCCCTCCAGTCGTACCCTGATGAATCGCGACCATCTTCATCCCTTTCTACCTCTGATATCAAAATTGATATTCCTCGTGCGACGCCCGGCTCAAACGCGGCCTCCAGTAATCCTGCGAACTTTCGGGCACAACTAAAACGCGTGGGTGTGGAATTAGATGATTCTTTGTTGGAGCCGACGAAGTCTTCCTCAGCTTCAGCCAGTGATATGAAGAAAAAGTTCATCAAAGGTTCACGTGGTGTTCTCCTCGCTGCGGCCTTTGGTCTCAAGGTCATTCCCGTTCCGTATCTTGATAAGGTCACGGATCTGCTTCTGGGACTACTTGAAGTTTACGAGGTTGGACTCCAGTTTTGAATTCGAAATCCTTCATGTCAGCTCACGTTCATCCCATCTGTGCCTGATCACATGTAGAGTGTTGACGGGAATGAGGAGAATCTCAGAGGTCTAGATGACGACATCCGAACGGCCTACACCGACATCTTGGTCCCGCTCCAAATGTGGGAGGACCAGATCCCTTCTGAAATTGAATCTCTAGTCAAGGCACTGCATTCGTGCGTGCATAATCTTTGTCAATCGTTCACTTTATCTCAATAACCCACGACAGGGACTTGGAGAAACAGTCTGGGCAGATCGAATTACTCAAGAGTCAAAACCTCCTACAAAAAATCCTATCAGCAGATGTGACTCAGAATATAAGCGATGTGAGGGCGTGCATCAACAAGGCCATTGCCTCGTTCTCTGTTCGTTTCCAACTACACGCAAGGCGGTTTCCTAGCTGATTAAACGTTTCGACAGGCAGGGACACAACTTTTGGCACTTCTCAACGCAATCAAGTCATCAACTCAATGTATGTCACTTTGTGCGTGCTGTTAGGGACCTTATTGACTGCACTTGTAGCCCTCCTCGATAAGCTTGGGCATGTCGCTGCTGAGCACATTTACGTAACAAGCAAGTCGAAGTGCCACCCAGAGACTCGAAAGGAGATGCAAGAATCCCTTCTCTATCACTTACGTGAAGCCAAGAACCGATTTGTCTGGCTATGTGGTTCACCAGGTACTGGGAAGACCGCAATATGTTTAAGCATCACATCCGTTCTTAAGGAGCAGGGTACCCTCGCGGCATCATTTTTTTGGGACAAGAACCAAAAGGGATCCGGGCTGGACTCTATCGAGCGGTTTCCGTCTACACTTGCCCATCAGCTTGCACGCTTCAACAATGCCTTCAAGAGATCGCTCATCAAACGCCTCAAGCGCGCAGATCTTGAATTCATCCATAAACTCCCTCTGAAAGAACAGATAAAGGCTCTAATCATCGAGCCGATGAGTGATCTCAAGGAGTTACTATCCTCGAGCGGCGATCGTTTCTTCATTATTCTGGATGGCTTAGATGAGTGTGGAAGCCAAGAGGTACTCGAGGCACTAATGAAGCTGGTACTTGCACTTCATGAGCTGCCAGCCCCATTTGCCATACTAGTCAGTTCTCGGCCAGACCTAGAAGTCGAGTTAGCTTGGACTGAAGCTCTCGATCTGGGTCATCCCGTAACATCCGAAGATATGGATAAGATTCCAAAACGTGAAACTCTCTCTACGATTCGTCACATGGTGGAGGAAGGGCTCGAGGATCGCATCCAACAATCCAAGTGGAAACCATCGGAAGCAGAACTCAACTCCTTTGCTTCCGCTTGTCGTGAACTGACCATTATTGCCTCGATCCGAATTCGGGATGTGCGCTCACGAACTCGTCGTGGCGTAACACTTAAATCCGAGTTTAAATACTTTTGCAATCTCGTTGATGCTCCCGCTGATGTCAACGAGGAGTACTTGCGCATTCTCCAACGTGCGTACTTTCCTGGGGTTCCTCCAGAGATAGCTAAGAGCTATCGTGAGGTACCCCCAGAGATAGCCAAAAAGTACCGTGGGGTTACCCCGGAGACAGCCAGGAAGTATCGTGACATTGTTGGGTCAATCATTATAGCACACGAGTCACTCAGCGCGCAAGACATGTGGCGACTGATGAAGATTACTAAGCTCGAGGCGCATGCAATATTGGAACCAATCAGTTCAATAGTCAACTTTCCCTCGGAGAACACCGGGAGCCCCAACTTCTACCACGCGACGGCGAAAGAATTTATTACTGGCAGGCCAATTGGAGACGAACTTGACGAAGTGTTCTTTGTAGATGATCCGAAGGGGCATTTCCTTGGATTACCGCTGCTTAGATCTTTTAACGACAGATGTCAGAAGGGTGTGTTTGGGATACCCACTAATCCTCCTCTGGGAGACCAAAACAAGTGGGATAATTTTTTGAGGAAGAGACGTGACCGTCCCCGGCTTGTCAATTATGAGATTAACAACTTGCTCTTCCACCTGGACCCCTCTCAACTCTTTTCAGAGCAACCCAATGAGTTGCAGAAAGAGTTTAACGACTTCCTTACACAAAACTTTCTTGCGTTCATCGTGTTGTCCCCTGTTGGAACTGAAGTGCCGAGTGAATTGCTTCAGCCCAGTACTGTGAGTAAGACTCCAAATGGTTGTTCACATGCAACGCTTATTTGAATGATATGACGTTGCTTTGCAGAATCGCATTTCAACTGAGCTTCTGAAAGAAGTTGGAAAGGCAAATCATTTCAGAGTCCAGTTCACTCCCTGGCATCTCTACCGATCGCTCCTTCCTTTCGCTCCGCCCTCATCACCCCTTTACAAATTGTATGGCCATTTTTCTGACCCTGTTCGCATCTTCAGTGCTTCTGGCGAGTTTTCTAGTCGCACGATCCCATTAAGCGACGAAGCTCTCAGTGCTCGAGGGCTCATGGAGGCGAAGCTAAGTCCATTGCCAGAGATGGGTGTATGGGATAATGAATGGGTAAATTATGAAGCTGAGTTACGTGAACTTGATGTTCGGAATGGTGTTGTGACGTGCGCTGCGCTCTCTCGAGATGGCCACCACATTGCACTTGCCTTTGGTAGTGGTATTGTCGAGATTGCCGACATCGACCAGCAGCGCACGGTCACTCGGTTTGAATGCGATCCACCTCGTCTTCTAATTTGGGTCGAGTTCGTTCATGACAACCACCGAATCGCTACAGAGGATAGTGAGGGGAATATCACCATTTTCAGCCGTGATATACGAGCCATGAGGCTTAGCACTCTCCCCAGTGGGCGCTATCCACCTGTCACTGCAGTGTCAGACAATGGATTGTTAATAGCACGAATTCAGCAGGATCTTGGGAGGAATTGGTACGACTACATGTCACTCCTATATGTTTCGGATGACCTGTCTGTTCAACCTCTCGCCTCTCCCCCTTCTGACACCTCCACACCATCCTCCCAACCTGATTCCAAGTTAGCCATCCCCCACCGTCGTACGATCGGTTTCTCTCCAGGAGCACGATATGTTGCCGCTTTTGATGGGATCAGCGCCTGCGTCTGGTCAACAGAGTCACGCGAGTTCATTGCACGTTATCACGTTACGGCTTTAGAGTATTGGATTCTCAATCCCGGCACCGCCCCCCTTTGTCCATATTCCATCTCAGATCCCATGTCCACCGGACCTGCGCTTCCTTTGAGAGATGATACTGTGGACGTAGAGACGGACTCAGGGCTCAACGCGGACGAGTCTTGGATCAAGCGCCCATTCTACGACCTCTTACCGAGCATGAGAGAGGTCATGCACAATGATGTCCGTTCATTTGCAACAGGCAGAACTCCACTGTTACAATCGGTTGGGATGACGTCCGGAATATGGTTTAATGGTGAGAGGGAGCTCGTAGTCCCAGGAAACTATCAACCGATCCAGAACAACGCCAAAAGCAGGGTCAGCTGGTATGGGGATCGAGTGCCCGATGATCTCACATACTCCTACCGTCCTTCGTCCAGCAGGGATGGGACTCGATTTCTGCTCCAGGGCCGGACGAAAGCTCCAATCGTTGTGGATATCAGCGAAGTTGTTTAGTATCCCTATGAAGCTTGCTATTTCTTATTCCCCTCCGTTTTTGGTTCTCAAGCTTGAGTGTACTCACGTCTCATGGAGCACTGCGTACTATACAACATATCACGATTTTGTAATCAATGTCTAGCAACCGCGTGGGAAGATGAACCGCAAATGGATTAGAACTGCTCGTAGGAGGTAGCGAAGTTAATTCTCTGGCTATTCAAGCAATCAGAGCCTCTCCCAAGACAAAGGGACTAGACAATGTGTGATGCCCCAAGATTACTCAGGATCCGGAATTTATTTCGTTCAATGAGGTCGCCAATCCCTCGGGTCACATCTCAGCTTGATTACTTTTTCTGGTTCTTTCTTGGTTTTTTAGAAACTTATTTCTGTGCATACTGCACAAATAATAGGCTTTTGAGCATGGAGTTCGGTTGTCATGTCATGTTGGAAAGGGGTGCAGAAAATTTCCGTCTCAAACCATACATATATACATGCAACGAGAACAATGCATGCCATGATCGTAGCAGAGGGCGGTGCAGAGCTGCGCGTGCGCCTGCAAGCCCACTCCTCTTTGTCTGGTTTGGTGCCTGAGTTTTGATCCCTTCCTTCGAGAGATCCCCCTCTAAAATATTGTAGGTTACATTCCTTAAGCTATGAATCATATATGCGACAAATAGGGCGCTCACAGCGTGCAGTTCCAATCAACCATTGAGCGATACGATAACGGTCCCCATATCGATTCGATTCTTAGGGTTAAATTCAAGGCAGGGGGCGAGAGTTTTCTCAGTCTGTGTTGAAGGAGGGGTAAATGGTGGCTTGGACTGTGCAAGAGCCGCAGGGTTGTGCATATCAACAAGTATGGTTGTGGTGGAGTATGGTTGCTCGTTGCGAAGTATCTGTGTACAGCTGTCATACTTAACCTTAACAAATATGTGCTCATACCTCCATGGCTGTACATCCGAATCCCCACACATCACTTTCCTTGGTTGAACCAGACTCACCAACCGTCACCTCCGGCGCTGTGTATCTCAAGACCATCCCGTATCCCACGACCGTCGGACCGGGACGTGTTGTCGTGTCCCATATAAGGAACGATGTCCCAAAATCGCACAACTGCGGTATATTCCCATTCATGACGACATTCGCCTGACGATGAAGATGGTCCCATAAGAAGGGCTGATTGCACTAACATGTAAAATGAAAATGATTCACGGGTGTAATATCGCCATGCACTACATCCTCTGAATGAAGATACTCTACGCCATGAGCAATTCCGTAAATCTAGGGTGTCAACAGATGAGTAGCGATGAACACGACGCGAAGTTGGATTCACCAAGGCCCGACGATCGGCATTAGGATGCCGCTCTAAAAAACCCCTCACATTCCCTCCGTCACACCAATTTGACACCAAGCTCGGTCGGAAATCTTCCTTGATATATGATATCCAGCCATAAAGCTGAACTATGTGTGGGTGCGTCAACTGGCACCACACCCTCATCTCACGAATCAAGTGCTTGGATTGAGAGTGAACGGGTGTGGAATGCCCATCATGTCCGAGTCTCCTTACCTCAAAGGACCGGCTGAAACCCCCGACAACCTTTACGCAAACCTTGCGCTGGAAAGATGCGAGGGAAGGTAGCTAAATGATTCCGAGTGCCCGCGAGGAGACACGAACGTTGTTGTAGATTCCCTTGTATATTGTCCCAAAACATCCTTGCTCTCTGGCACGCTGGGGGTCTGTGTCGATTACCCCGTTGAGGTTCCGAGGGTCAATTTGCAGCATCCTCTCCTCAAGCTCTTGTTGCCAGGATTTGTCGGCGGGCTCCATGGGCTTCAATCTATGAGACGCAAGGGACGGAGATAGTTGAGAAGCAAACGCCAAAGAGGGTGGTGGAGCGAATCAATGCTGGTGTAACTGCGCGTGCAAAGAATAGCCCACCTTCATTCGATAAGCTATCGTTCTTGCCTGATTTGGAAATGCATATTCATACTAAAAAACCCGTCCATGCTTACTACGCAACGTTGTATAGCTGAGAAGTTAGATGCATTAGCCTCAACCACAGCTAACAGATGTCAACATCTTGGCAGAGATGCGTCATCTACTTAATCATTGTAAGTATAATAACACACGACGAGAATCCTGTCTGTGATTAAATTGACCTCTCAAGTAGATGGCATTGAGCTGTTGCAAGCGCATCTTCTGCTATTGTTTTGGACCTCCCCAAACGAGTTTTCAAGATGTACGGACGGCGCCGGATGTTATCCACACAAACCGAGCGCGGCAACACAGCTTTGGACTCTTGATGACTACCATGTGTGCTTCCCACTGTTTCTCGCTCGAATGCCAATATTTTAGACGTCATCCGTCCGCGCCTTTATGAGCTTTCCGGTGGAACACCGTAATAATGAGCCAAAGATAAAGCAAATGAGGTGCGGAGTGGAAGCGAAGCAAAGTAGATCACGCGAAGCAGGGGTGCACAGACGCTTGCGGGGTCGGTAAGCTCAGGCGAAAGGAAACAAAATCGAATCACATTGGTGAAGGCACGGATTATTGGTGAAGGGAGGAACGAGAACGGGCGGGTTTGGAGTGTGTTCTTCTCATAGTAAAACAGTGAAACTCCCCCAATACGGGTGGCTTTTATTCAAGGGACGTAGCTTCAATTGGTGGATTAGAGGGAAGGAGAAATGAGGTTCATGTCCTACTGGGGACAACTCAATAGGATTTGCTATAAAGTTTCGCAAGAATTTGTTTGCAAGACCCGCTACGGAGCGGCAGAAACAATAGCAATGGTAGTGAAAAAAATTGACAAGAGATAGGATAGGTCTATGGGTGAGTACGTTATAGTGCCGCTTGGTGAGATGACTTTCGGGCAATCAGCTGAGGAGACGAATTACCAGCCAAGTTTTGGTTGGAAGGGGTGCAGCTCGACATGGTCAGAAGGAGAGTGCGAAAGTAGGAAAAAAAAATGAGGCTAGCGATCGTGGTTTGGAAAAGAGGCATGCCATCGTTGGTGTTGACAACTTTGCAATTTCGCTCACCGGCCCCCGGTTTGAACGAATAACCATGCCGGAAAAAAAAAACGGATCTGTTGACGAAGAATAGATTGGGCGACTTTTTGTGACCGAAGAGGTATGGCTCGAATGGCACCAGGACCAAGCTAAGTTAGTGACCTCAGCAGGCTCAAGAAGCTTCGCTTGCACAACTGCATGACCGACCGGGACCCGGATTAAATTGAATCTCGATAAGCATAATACGTGATTGGCTCAGTTGGATTTTCCTCGTCTGGCGTTATATTTAGGGTGAAGTGCTGGCTCAGATCAACATCCCAGTTGGTGTTCATCTCTTTGAGGCGGTAGTGGTCAGGTGACCGCTGACGGATGGCTCGATGGCCGAATTTATTCGTCTATTTGTCCGAGGCGGAAGATGAAACCCGGCTCAGTGCCAGAACTAACTATACCGGTCGCGAGGAATGCTACTAAGGTGTCTCGCTTATTGTGAAGCCCCGTATCTATCTTAGTGTCAAATGCAAACGAGAACGCAGACGAGTCGGTAATGCCCACTCGAAATTCTAGGCTAATTTATGGCTGCTGCATGTGGATACAGCAACGAGGCGTCTCCTAGGAAAGGACTCACTAGCCCTCAGGTACAATATCACCAACTTCGCTGGCAGGCGTACCCTTTCCAAGGCCCCTGCTGCAATAATCAGTGTTCATTGCTGCTAGTTCAGTTGCCTCCCCGCTCTGTATTGACGGCATCTGAACTCAGTAGTTTATCATATTCGGTCATCCCTCTTATGTCTGCACATTCCCGCTCCTCCATTGTGAAAGGGTCTCTCAGTCCTAAACACCCCATACAAGCTTGTCGATGCATCCCATGAAATGGATGGTGCGCAACTGCGATATTCTCACTACTTACGACAACGTTTTCCTCGGGATATCACCTCATTCTGTGGTCTCTCGAGCTTCTCTTACATGTACCACTTATTTGCTTTGCTGGATGCCAGGCGTTAAGGCTGCGCTCGAGATGGAGGCAGGAAAGTATCCTATTGTCCAAGAACCTACCTGGTATCACCAGACCTACGTCAGTCCTGGTCCTGTCGTATTCCACATACTACTCCATCTTCCTCGGCTCGCGGTTTAAACAATGTTTCTGAGACCGTGCTCGAATATCAAAGCGGCCTGGAACTGTGCATTTCGTTTCTGATGTCCATTCATCCGTGTCCCACTCTGTGTTTTTCTGTACTCTGTGCAGACCTCTGGCTAATTTCCAAAGGTCGAGGGGAATTTTATTCTTATGGGTGAAATATTGACAATGTCCAGATTGCCTTGTAACCACATTCTATGATATATAGGGCGATGACCAGTGCAGCTTCTGTTACACTTCCAGCGCGGGCATTTATCGGCAACCAAGTGCTACTAAGATGTGCTGCGGGGCGAGGGGATCGAGATTGCGCAAGCTTGCGCCAGCCACCGATTACTGGATTGCTAATGAATGCTTTTATTGGCCTCCATTTTCGGTACTACAGTAAAACTTGCAATGATATATTGCGCTACATATACAACTCGCCATTGCCGCATCACTCCCATGTCGCCGCTTCCATTCCGAGACGTCGTGCTGTAACCCACTCTTTGCCATCCCTCTGGCCGGTGCATGCAGTTTAGCCCCCTTCTTTTGGCGGACCTCGCTCTAATTATCGGTTGCATCCCTTGAAGCCACCTTGGATCATACTTGAGACTTTCCGATGCGTAACCCCAATAAATTACCAAAAAAACCCAGACAAAATATTCCTCGCACGATTCACAGTTTAAGATTGCGCAGAAGCTCTTCTAGGGCTCATGTGCTGCTAAGAATTGCAGTGTTGAGGAATTGATGCGAATGACTGAAAGATTGTGTCGCTGAGGAATTGTCAGCTTGCCCACCACCGGAATGATTCTGCCCAAGGCGTTCGGTAACCGTTTGCATATTAATCCGGTGCTCAGGAGTAGGCTCGAGGCAAAGGAGAAGAATTTCCTCGATAGGCTGAGCCGCTGGAAGAGCAAACGGCGGCACGGAACCTCCAATAGCTCCGTGGACGGCGAATTCGTTTTTAATGGTGCCATATGGTCGCGTATTGCGGAGTATCTAAAACACGGCCGTCGGCCCCAAGTCTCGAACATGCATTCAGTCCAGTTATTCGTACCTCCATGGCTGTACATCCGAATGCCCAGACGTCAGTTCTTTTGTCTCGAAATGGCTCCTCCTTGTGGCACACTTCTGGCGCTATGTATCGCAATGTCCCAGCCAGGCTCGACGGGTTGATATGGGTTGACGTGTCCCATATAATAAACGAAAGTCCAAAATCACACAACTGCGGCGTTCTCTCATCACTCACGACGACGTTTTGCTAGCGATGAATGCGGATTCATGAGAATCATCTCCATTTACAACATAGGAATAACTCACGGGCTTCATATCGGCATGCACTATCTCCTTCGAATGAAGATACTCCAGACCATGAGCTATTCCGCAAACCTAAAATGCCACCCCCATGCAGATAAGTAGTGATTCACAACGCGCAAGTTAGATTCATGTACCAGGGCTCGGCGATCAGCTTCAGGACAGCGCCTTAGAAAAGCTTCAACGTCCCCTTCACCGCACCAGTTTGACACCAAGCTCGGACATAAATTTTGCTTGCTTTCGAGGTACGATATCCAACCGTGAAGCTGAACTACGTGTGTATGCGCCAACTCACACCACACTTTCATTTCACGAACTAGGCGCTTGAATTGGGAGTAAATGGCGGCGAAATGTCCATCATGCCTGGGTCAACTTACTCTAAGGAATTCGGGACGCGAAACATCGCTCTCGATATCCTTGAAAGCCTTGATGCAAACCTTGGTCTAGAGAGAGGGGGGAGGACATGAGCATGAACAACAATGCGGAGCGCGCGCGAAGAGATACGAGCCGTGTTGTAGACTCCCTTGTATATTACCCCAAATGACCCTTGTTTTGGGGTACGCTGAATGGTTCCGATATCGATTATTCCGTCGAGGTTCCGATCATCAACTTGCTCCAGCTTCTGCACGATGGTTCGTCGTAAGGATTCCACTTCATCGGGCGACATTCTTGTGAGGCGAAAAAGAGGGGGTACCGTGCCGCATATGAGGGAACAGCATATTCTTTATCTCGTAAGGTCAGCGGTCACTGCTAGGGCCCCTGGCTCGATTCGGAAACATTGACAAATAGCCGATCCAAAACCAATATAATTAGGACCATTCTCCTGGAAGCTGCTTACGCAGCATGGGTGAACGTGTTTTTCTCATTGGTCTTCGACCTCCCAAATAAGTTTAGTATGAGTCTAGAGCTTACAGCTCACAAAGACCTCCCCAAACATCGCTGGATCAACTATGGCACACAACCCTACCACTGACCCACACAATCTGGAGGGGAGGATCACGTTTGATCGGGGGCATAACCCAGACCCACCGGCCTCCGATTGTGATGCAGTAAGAATGATGCGGTCACTTTGGTTGGATTTCGCTCATCTAGTGTCATGGTTAGGGCGAGGCGCTGGACCAGAACAATGTTCTCATAGAAGTCCTACACGAGGTCGATCTCTTTGAGGAGGACTCGGAGGTGGAGGGTCGTTTCTTTCAGGTTTGCGGTCGATTCGTTGGCATCGGCGAGCTGCTGAATCTTCGTTCGTAATAGCGCGTAGAGCGTCAATTGAAAATGCTTCGTGGTCTAGCTCATGTCAACGTTGCTGAATTCCAAGGATGGATGGTGATGCTTGAAGATGAATCTTGGCTTCGCGCGAAAGCAGTCCATGCAGGATGTGAGGGAGGGAAAGTCATGGCCTACCTCAGCATCAATGCCAATGCGGATCGCCGGGACTTGGTGAGTTCTGCCATCGGCGCTCTCAGTGTGTGCCAGTTATCCCGAGCCCACCCATAGGTTGTTGGTGTTTCTCGAGGGCTTTCATATCTTCATTCTAAGGGAATAGTCCATGGGAATCTCAATCCGGTTCGCGTGCTTTGAACCGCTCATTGCGAAACCTCATGATAAAGTTTCTCCCAGAGCAACGTGCACATCGACTATGACGTCCAAAGGCGTCCTGTCCCCCGAATCAGCGGCTTCGAATCTTCGTACACGATCACAGATGATGATTCCGTCAACCTTAAAATGGAGGGCGCGTGCTCTGCACCCTTGAGATACATTGCCCCAGAAGTTATGGCGCAGCTCGGATTTCTGTGTGGCCAGAAAGGTGACGTTTGGTCCTTCGGATGTACATCGTCACAGGTATTCCACGCTTTCTATGTACCGACTGACAATTGAGATCTCGCTTTTTTCAGATGCTCCTTGGCAAACGCCCTTACGGAGGTATCCGGAATGATTACCACATTCCATCGGTAGTCGCGAGACACGTGGACCCCTATGTGTGGGACTCTGCGGATCTTTTCCATGAGATGCTTCGGAGTTGCCTCGTGCATGACCCTTCTCTACGTGCCACCTCCAGTAACGTCGCCAAACGTTTAGAGTAAGTTGTAGGCCCCTTCGCTCATCATGCAGAGTGAAGCTGAAATTCGGTAGACGGGCCGTCACTCCGAAATCCGAGCCCCGGCTTCTCGAATTGAGTGAGCGCAGACATGAAGGGATCCATGATGATTTGAAGGAAGTCAAGCAGAAGTCCTCGGAGAAAGCTACCTCATCGCAAAGTCGGCCGGTTTCAGGCTTGTTCTCTGCCCCATTCACGTCCCCGTCGTTACGCAGTGCGGAACTCCTAGAGGAATTTGGTGGGGCCAGTCGACTTTCGGTCAAGCCTGTCCTGTGGAGAGAGGCCGGGTCCTCTCCTCTCCTTGCCAAGTTCCCTGCCAAGCCCCGTGGTGCTTCCGTACTGACGGAGCACACCTCTCATGCTACGGCTGCTGCAGAGCAGCCCCCGTCTCTAGCAGTCCCGCACGCCTATCAGGCACGAATCGACGAATCGACAGGTGCCTCTTACGATATGTCAAGTGCCCCTTACAATATGTCAAGTGCTCCTTACGATACCAGCACGTCGTATTATCCAGTACCCCCTTCGATTTATCCGATGAACCAGTATGACCCTCAATCCTCTGCAGCCATCCACCGGGTTCGTCCGGTACCCCCTTCGATTAATCCGATGAACCAGTATGACCCTCAATCCTCTGCAGCCATCCACGGAGTTCATGTGAGTTTAGTCAAAGTACTTTGGCACCTTCTCATTCCTTGCTGCAGTGGGGCACAGTTGAAGGCTCGGCGATTATGGACTCGTCAGGCTGCATCCAGATTCTGCCGTCTGAGTCGACAGAAACTCACTCTGAGCATGGCTCTATTCATCCACCTCTTATCACAGAACCAACGTCTTCCACCACGGCACCAAGAAACCCTGTAAACGTCAATCTGGTGCAGCGCGTTGTGGCGACCCATAGGGTCGATGATTACAATGTATTGATTGTTGGACATAAGTCTGCCATTCCTTCGACGGAATTGTTCTGGATCTTGAAGACAATCTTCGAGGATGCGGATGGTGATGGTCAAGCACACATCAGGGAGGGGGTTGTCAGATTTTTGGAAATATGGGTGTCGAGCAGACTCCTCGACGTTTCCCTCCATTCGGGGGTCATGTGTTTTGCGCATGAACACTTAGGCAACTCTCTGTTCTCTCGCCAACTTCAAGAGATTCAAGCCGCACTGCAAAGACCGGCACGGCGTCTTCCCACTGTAAGGTACCGAGCCGAAACATCGAGCGGATCCGCCATCACTGGTTCGTCCACTTCAAGCGGCCAACGGAAAACCAGGCAGAGGACCATCGTGGAAATTATGCCAAAAGATCTGACCGAGTTAGCAAGGGCTCTGCTCGAAGTGGAAATGGACAATTGGGGAGATCTTACCATGGCTTATGTTGTCAAGTCCCTGTCAGCAAGGCGGGACGAACAAATAACGCTGGATTCTAAGCCATTCTCTCCCTTGGCTGAAAAGGTAATTTGGGACTTTTCCGACAGCCCTAAACAGTCTGAGAGCCATTCTGCATTCAGATACAAGACTGGGTGAATGAAGAGTGCCTGAATAAACGCTACTCGGCTCGGCAGAAGGCCTTCCAATTGTTCTACCTTCTGGCATGTGTAAGTTGCTCCCCCTCCAAATATTTTCGTGGTATGAGAATCCCCTAATATTTTTCTGAGCAGGAATGCGAAAAGCTAGGGAATCTTGCAAGTTCCCAGGCCATCGCCTGTGCTCTTCGTGGGGAATACATTCGGAAATTTAATTTTATTCGGGGTCCTGCTGAGAAGTCAGCAGGAGGCTCAGAAATGCTTCGTGAGGCACTGCAACGCCTTTCCGAACCCCCCGAACCCCCCGACACAGTCCCGGCAAAAGTTCCTCCGTTAGGTTTGTCAGCAACTCCCCTCTAGTACCACAGGCTAAAAGACCATCTAGACCACCGATTGCGACGACTTGTACCGGTGTTCCACGCCATCCGGGATGATGTTGCCACGATCAACTGGGAGGCTTGCAAGTTGTTTTATCAAAATTTGAAGCAGGTGCTTCAACAGCCCCTTCTCGCTTCTCCGGAAACCAATGTCCCTGAGTTTTATCATGAATTTCTTCGCGAAAGGATGTACGAAGCGTCCTCGAATCGTTCTAACCACCAGGATCTCAGTGAACGCCTCTCCACAAATGAAGCCCGCGAGGTGCTGCAGATGCAAGTTGGGGCTGGATTCGGATTCTGACAACCGAGTTATGGTGCCTCACTACGTTATCCCTAATTTCACTGCTCAAATTAATTTGTTCGCACATGGTCTCAGCTTGATCCGAGATGGAAACTAATTTCTGAATTCCAGTTCATGATGTTGTAGGTGTTCTCCATTTCGTCTCACTACGTCTCTCTATCTTAATTTTAGAGTTCTGGGCTTCCTTCCCATTTCTCTCATTGCGTCCTGAATAGCTTGGTCCTTGTGTGACTCTGCGTGCTGTGGAGCCCTATTTGTAACTAAGTTTTTTCGAGCATCCACGGAACTGCGCCAAGGTAAAGCCGTGCGTTGGCCGCGTCCTGAATTGGTTGAACACGAGGGGCAGTTAAAGTCACAAAACACATACGCATCCATACACAGTATCCAGACGTCGAATAGGAACCAACACGATGAACCTTCTTTATTACTATTACGCGAAAATCGACGCACGAATACATTCCGCAAAGTGAATAGTGGATGGGTCATGAGGCGTATACAGATGTTTTTCTCCACAAGTGGTATCTCATGTACCAAGCCTAGTCCCTCGGTAAGCAAGCAAAGGATATCTCATACGACCGATGCATAACTCACGATGGCTGATGGCTGAATGGATTAATGCTTAGAGTTTAGGTCCGAGTCCCCCCAACACTCCTCCATTGGAATTTTTTTTTGCTTCTAATGTCTCAGGATAATTACGAGGAGTCGTGCCCTAGGATGTTACGTAGAATACCCTTCAAAGTTACTGTCAGGGTTGCAGGATCCAGCCGAGATGACAAAGCTGACTCGAGAGAGCTAGCAGCGATGGCATGCACTCGGACCTACGTGGCACTCTAGCCAGAAAGAAGGATTGACGTGTTCGATCTCGGGAGCGACCCAAACCCCTCATTTATCCTTGTGATGGAGTATGCATAATGCGCGATTTGTTTCCCTCATATTTAAGGCGAAGAGTCGTACGCGAAGTTCAACTCTCAGAGCCGGTGGTGCAAGCACTTTGTTCAGGTTTGTGGTTCAATCGGGCAAGCAGTACGTCAGCTGAATCTTCCTCGGCACGTAACAGCGCATTGGTGAGGCCTATTGTAAATGCTTCGCGTTGTGGCTTTGCTCAAGGATCATGGATGGCGGAGGATGAAACTTGACATCATGCGAAAGTTTATTATACCAGTCGCGGGGAAGGGGATGTTACTACGGCCGGCCTCTTTCAGCGGTAATGCACATGCGGATTGTCTGAACTTGATGGGTTCATCGGTGCCTCAGTTTTGCTTATAGTTTGCATTCTTTGGTGTGTATGACGTTATTACGAAACCCCACGTTAGAGATTTTTCTAGGGCAACGTCACTCACATCGATTATGACGTCGATAACAGGCATCCCGTTCCTCGGATCAGTGGCGCTTTGATTACTTGTATATGGAATCTCAGGCATTTTCAAACGCACTAGAGAGCCACTGTACCGAAGACAAACAAGTCCACACATATTGCGTCCGCAGTCGCGAAACATGTTTCTCCCTATTCGTGGGACTCTACAGACCTTTCCATGAGGTGCTTCCTAAATGCAGCAATATCTACTATCAAACGCCTCTTCGTTCATGTGAGCAAGGGTGATGATATATCTGTGCTACATTGATATCTCCCATTACACAATGAGCCCTCCAGTCCAGGATGATGTACTGTGCCAGCCGCTCCGACGTATGCATTTCCATCCCCTTCCCTCGACGACCTCGCTCTAATTTTGGCAACACTCCTGGTAGTCGCCTTGGATTGTAACTTAGAGTAGAGATTCACCGGCGTGTAAACGTAATCGACCCCCCAGACAATGTGTGTCCGCACTTCTGATCCGTGTACCCACAGCGCAAGATCGAGCAAACAGACCTCGCTCATGTGGTACTGAGAATTGCAGCGCTGGGAAATCGAAGTGTATGACTGAAAGATTGTGTTCGCTACGAAATTGTCAGAGTGGATGCATTCTGCTTCAGGCATTTTATGACGTCTCCCATATTGATTCGACCCTCAGGATCAAGATCGAAGCAGCGGACAAGAGTCTCCTCGGTAGGCTGGGTTGCTGAAGGATTAAACGGCAGTATCGTCCCGATAACTTTGAAAACGGCGAGGTCGTTCCTAATCGTGGGATATGGTGGCTCGCTGCGAAGGATCTGGGCATAACTGTCGGTCGGCTGCTAGCCTCAAACATGCTTTCAAAATTGGAGTTCATACCTCCATAGCTGTACATCCGAATGCCCAGACGTCGGTTTTTTTGTTTCGAAAAGGCTCCTCAGACTCAAACACTTCTGGCGCTACGTATCGCGCTGTTCCGAGTAGACTCGATGCATGGATGTATGTTGACGTGTCCGATACAATGAACGAAAGTCCAAAATCGCACAACTGCGGGGTTCTCCCACCACTTACGACCACATTGTCCTAACGGTGAGTTCGTATCCATAAGAAGTTGCTGATCATACCGACGTGTAACATGAAAACGACTCACGGGCTTCATATCGCCATGCACAATTTCCTCCGAATGAAGATATTCCAGACCATGAGCTATTCCGCAAACCTAAAATGCCAACCCCACGCCAATGAGTAATGATTCACAGGGTGCTTGAGAAGGAGGATTTATATACCAGGGCCTCGCGATCAGCGTGAGGACTGCGTTTTAGAAATGTTGTAACATCCCCTTCGTCGCACCAGTCTGACACCAAACTCGGGCATAAATTTTCCGGGCTCTCGACATAAGGTATCCAACCGTGAAGCCAAACCACATGTTCGTGCGTCAACTTGCGCCACACTGTCATTTCACGGGCCAGTCGCTTGGATTACGAGTGAATGACAGTGAAATGACCATCACGTCCCAGCCAACTTACTTTAAGGAAGGCGCTGTCAGCATGGTCAATATCGATATTCTTGAATGCCTTGATGCAAACCACACTCTAGAGATAGGGGGAAGCCACGAAAGCATGAACGATGATTTCGAAGCGCTCGCGAAGAGACACGAACTCCGTTGTACAAACCCCTGAATATTACTCCAAACCCTCCCCATTTTTGGGTCCACCGAATATTTTTGATTTTTCCGTCAAGGTTCCGAGAGTCAACTTGCTCCAGCCTCTGGATGACAGCTTGTCGTGAGGATTCCGCTTGGTTGCTGAGGGACATGGCTTCCACACTCTGCGTGAGGTGAAGGGGATAGTGCTGTGCCGTGTGTGGGGGAATAGAATATTCTTATCTTGTAAGGCCAGAGGTCACAGGTCAATAGAGCTCGATTCAGTTCAATACATAATGCATGTGGGTCTGTATAACGAGACTCTTACCAAATGGCCCCAAGTGCCCGAATCTGAAATATCATGAACGTGTCCTCCGTCATAGTTGGTCTTGACCTCCCAAATAAGTTTCAAATGCATATTTCGGATCCAACGCCAACGAATTGTAGCTCACATAAGGGCTGCTCCGAAATATACTACTTTCTTCCAGACTACATCTCGCTCTTGTGCCATTCCTCCACATTGTATGCCGGCAAAGATGTCGGACATGATATCCAGATTGACTATGGTACGCGACTCTACTGCTGACCCACACAATCTGCAAGGCACGATCGAGTTCATTCCCAGGAGTGAGCTAGACCCGACCATCCATGGGGTAAGAATAATGTGGTCACTTCGGTCGAGTTTCCCTCAGAGTCTTGTGTCACGTTTAGGGGGAAGCGCTGGACCAGAACGACGTTCTCATCGAAGTCTTGCACGAGGTCGATCTCTTTAAGGAGGACTCGAAGGAGGCGGAGGAGCGCTTTTTTCAGGTTTGCGGTTAAGTCGTTGGCATCGGTGAGCCAGCTGAATCTTCTTTTGTAATAGCGCGTTGGGCATCAATTAGAAATGCTTCGCGGTTTACATCACCCCAACATTGCTCGATTTCAAGGATGGATGGTGAAGCTCGAAGATGAATCTTGGCTTCGCGCGAAAGCTGTCCATGCGGGTTGTGAAGGAGGGAGAGTCATGGCTTATCTCAACGCCAATTCAGATGCAGATCGTCGGAACTTGGTGGGTTTTGTCATCGGTGCCCTCCGCATGTGCCCGGCCATCCTAAGCTCGCCCTTCTTTAGGTTCTTGGAGTTTGTCGAGGGCTTTCATATCTTCATTCTAACAAAATCGTTCATGGTAATCTCAATCCGGTTCGTACGATCTGACTAGCTCATTGCAAAACCGCACGGTAAAGAATCTCTCAGAGCAACGTCCATGTCGACCACAATGCCGGTGACAGGCAACCCGTTCCTCGAATTAGCGGGTTTGAATCCTCTTACGTCGTCACCAATGATCTCGCCAACCTTAAAATGGAAGACACACACTATGCGCCCTTAAGATACACCCCCCCAGAAGTCCTGGCGCAGCCGGGAGTTCTGTGCAGCCAGGAAGGTGACATTTGGTCTTTCGGATGTACATCGTCACAGGTATTGCATGCTTTCTATGTACCGACTGGCAATTGGGATTTCACCTATTTCAGATGCTCCTTGGAAAACGCCCTTACGAGAGTATCCGAAATGATTACCACATTCCATCGGTAGTCGCGAGACATGTGGACCCCTATGCGTGGGACTCTGTGGATTCTTTCTATGAGGTACTTCGGAGTTGCCTCGTGCATGACCCTTCTCGACGTACCACCTCCAGTGACATCGCCAAACGTTTAGAGTAAGCCGTAGGCCCCTTCCTTCATCGTTTAGAGTGAACCTGGAATTCGGTACTAGATTGGTCGTCGCTCCTCCAGAATACGAACCCCAGCCTCTCGAAGTGAATGAACGCAATCTGACGGATAGATTCCAAATTGGAGATAGAACTGGAGATGACTATACGGTTGCAGGCGCGTTCCCTGGCCACATGGAAGACATTCAACAACAGCTTTCCTGTAATACACTGCCCTTTCCCTCTAATCTCCCTCATGCTGCCCGACCAGGTAGGTTCGGGCCACGCTCGCTTGTCCCTCAGCCGGAGGAAGCAAGCAGTAGCAAACGGGACAACTCACCTCTTCATGGCGAAAACCGACCTCATGGTGACAATACTCATTCCACTACGGCGGCTACTAGTATTGCTTCTGGGCTTTTCAATCGACCACCTCCACGCCAGCTTTGTGTTAGGCACAAAGGAATGGGTGGCGAAGGGGTGAATCTGAAGCTTCAAAAGGTGAGGGTTTGTTGATTCTTGAATCGAGTGGGGGGTTAAGTGCTCACTGGAATGCCTTGCTTATGGAAAATTTTGCAACCGCCTTGCTGCTTAACGGACAGTTTCTTGATGCCCTGCCTGTCTCGGAGCGGGAAACCGTCAGTACCTTATGGTCCATGTTCAGTTCTTTGACCCACGCACACCGGGAGATCATCCTACAGGGGTTACTCACCATATGTTGCTCAAGTCAACTCTCTCTTCTTAACGAACAAGTTCCGCAATTACTTTGTATCGACCCATTTCTCGCTTTTCCACGAGAGGTCTCTTTACAAGTGCTGAAGTATCTTGACGCCACTTCACTCACACGCGCTGCCCGGGTGTCGAAACTCTGGAAATCTATTGCGTATGACGACATTTTGTGGAGAAACATGTGCGAACAACAGACCTGCAAACGGTGCGGTTGGGGACTACCTTTGCTCGAGAGAAAGCGACTCAAGTCGTGGAAAATACAAGCCTCAAGTTCGCCCTCTCCCGGGTTCGAAAAGTGTCAGTCTTGTGGTGGAGATGGGCCGGCGTCAGATGGTTCGCCTTCAACCAAACGATGCAAACTATCTGAGTCTCCAGATCTCGCGCCACAATCGAGCCCAGCAGCGTGCATCTCCGCTATCCAAGACACTCCGAAAAGACCCTGGAAGGAGGTGTATAGCGAGCGGGAAAAAGTTTGGCGTCACTTCGCGTGGACCCTAAAGGGGCACACGAATGGCGTTATGTGTCTGCAGTACAGCGAAACGCTCAACCATCCAAATTTCCCAATCCTGATGACGGGATCGTTCGATCGGACTGTTCGCATATGGGATGTAGAGACGGGTCGAGAGATCGGATGTCTTCGTGGTCATCAAAGGGCGATTCGCGCGTTACAGTTTGACGAAGTGAAACTCATCACCGGATCCATGGATAAGACGCTGAAAATCTGGAACTGGCGAACCGGAGAATGCATACGCACCCTTGAAGGGCATGGGGAGGGGGTTACCTGCCTGACTTTCGATAATGATGTGCTTGTGAGCGGGAGTGTTAATGCTACAGTGAGAATTTGGGATTTCCGAACCGAAGGGTCCCATACCTTTCATGGACATCGGGACTGGATTAATGCCGTTGTGCTTTGGGATGGGAAATCTGCTCCAACCCCTGGCGATCAGTGCGATGTGCCCGATATCGATTCGAAGAAATTGCTTTTTAGTGCTTCGGATGATAGAACCATCCGCTTATGGGACCTGTCGACGGGGGAATGCATTAGGGAATTTACCGGTCATATGGCGCAAGTGCAATGTATCAAACTCGCATATGTTGACGACGACGGTGGGTCCGAGAGCGGATCGATTAGCAGTCTTCATCTTGGCCCTCCCGTTACCCGCCCTGTTACTCATTGGGAGGAAAGGGCCGCAGCGCATCTGAACGAGGGGGGATCTGCATCCCCTACCTCCACTACTGTCGGGGAACACATTTCCCCACGGAAACGTGGCCCCTATGCTGTTCTGATGTCGGGAAGCTTGGACAACACGATGAAGATGTGGGACATAGAGTCCGCAACCTGCCTGAAAACATATTTTGGGCATACCGAGGGCTTGTGGGCTGTTGATGTAGATAGGAGACATCTAGTATCGGCTAGTCATGATCGAACAATCAAAGTGGGTTTCAAATGCTTATTCGATACCATTCAGAACTAACGCGAATATCCTCTCTGACGATACAATAGATCTGGGATCGCAAAGAGGCGCTATGCAAGCATACTCTTGTTGGGCATCAAGCTGCTGTAACGTGTCTTAAACTCACCGATGATAAAATCTTTTCTGGTAGCGATGATGGAGACATCAGAATCTGGTGTTTCGCCCCCGAAGCTGAAGGTTCCTGACTGGCAATAGCTAGGTGCTATAACCCTGGCTTGAATTTGGTCCTTTCCATCCCCCCCCGTTTCCCCATGGAATAATTTTGCTAGCGCCAATCCCCCCTCCTAAGCATTGTGATACCATACATCCTGATCTGGCCTGATCTTTGGGAAGTCGTAACATAATTTTGATGGAGGGATGGGTGGTAGGCAGGTGGGACTCCTTCCCAGTTGCTCACTCCGAGGTTTAGTTGGTGGGATCTGCCATCGGTGCCTTCAGCATGTACTGGCCATCCTAAGCTCCTTCTTTAGGTTCTTGGAGTGTGTCGAGGGCTTTCATATCTGCATTCTAACGAGATCGTTCATGGTAATCTTAATCCGGTTCGTATGATCTGACCAGCTCATTGCAAAAACGCATGGTAAAGAATCTCTCAGAGCAACGTCCACGTCGACTACAATGTCGGTGACAGGCAACCCGTTCCTCGAATCGGCGGGGAATCCTCACCAATGATTTCGTCAACCTTAAGATGGAAGACGCACACTATGCGCCCTTAAGATACACCCCTCCAGAAGTTCTGGCGCAGCCCGGGGTTCTTCCTTCGGGTGTACATCGTCACAGGTATTCCGCGCTTTCTATGTACCGACTGGTAATTGGGATCTCGCCTATTTCCTTGGAAAACGCCCTTACGAGAGTATCCGAAATGATTACCACATCCATTGGTAGTTGCGAGATATATATGTGGACCCACTAAATATTGACCCGTTTGACCACCTTCATCCCCGTGAGAACCAATTCAATCGTGGGGTATGCATGTCCCCGAAACGGGCTCTCGGCCAAAGCCGGGCCAGCCGTTTCATTCACAAACCGTGAACGTCGTTGTAGGTAAGGCGCGTCGATCGACGTCCTCAACATCAGGATAACCGTACGTTGCACTACAGACCCGTCCTCTACTCCTTGGGTGTCCTACTTCCTATTTATTGCCATAAGTGGCATATTCGGTAAGCTCGAAATCCGTCATTGGCATCATTCCCAGCCCTGCACCTAACAGAACGCACTACGTTCACCTCCAATCTCGTTATAGATATCATTAAAAAGGACCACTCTTTGTATTTAACTGAAATCCACTGGAGGTGCTTAGCGCGTTGCTAGTGCACCACGGTTAACAACAGGGATCCCCCCAATCAACCCAGCCCTCTGAGTACACCGTCTACATAGAGTAACGGTTTCTCCAGGCCGTTCTGTATATTCTGCGCGAGGATTTGGGGCTTGTCCGTGGAGACACCTGCAGAGGGCCGGAGGTTGCACCTAGCACCGCTGGTACTCACGGTTGTTTGGTTCGTCTGGGCCACCCGCCGCAAAAACCGATCCCCCGCTCCGATTTCGTGCCATACATCGACAGCTATACACCTTCCTAGGCCCCCATCAAAATCTTTTACCCAAACGGTCGCACCGACACGCAATTCCCCTCCCTGCTTGCTTGCACACCGACCCTCAGATCTCGCTGTTTGTGCTTATACACCCTAAAACGCTCTGTGTGTCGTCTTTTGTTATCGAACGGGTGCAAAAGATCTCAGCGAGCAGAACTGTTGGGTGTTCGCCACGATCCTCTACACCCTCGTATTACGCGCTATCCCCTTGTCCAATCCGTATCAGTGGGACCGTATTCATATTCGCTGTCCACTGTCCAGTCGTATCATACACACACCTTCCTAGGCCCCCATCAGAACATCTTACCCAAATGGTGTATTGCATTACGCACTGACACGCGATTCCCCTCCCTGCTTGCTTGCGCACTGACCCTCAGATCTCGCCATCTGCGCTCATACATCCCTAAAACGGCGACAAACGCTGTGTGCATTGTCTTTTGTCATCAAAAGATCTCAGAATTGTTGGGTGTTCGCCACGATCCTCTACACTCTCGTATCGCGCACTATCCTCTTGTCCAATCCGTATCAGTGGGACCGTATTCATATCCGCTGTCCAGCAACCATGCACCCCTCAATTGGCGCTAAAGCGATGTCAGAAACGGCACAGTTGGGCTGGGACTTCAACCCGATGTGTGCCCTCGCCACTGCCTGCCGCTGAATATCCAATACCCAAAGACCTTTATAAGACCAGTGCCCGTGCTATACATATATTCCTCAGCGCCGAGCGAGCACCAGTAATCACCCTTCTTCGCCGCAAATCGCCCTGTTTGGTGTCCGTTCCTATTGGTATGTACTACAGCTACACACATGAATATGCAGCTGAGTGCATGTCTCTCTTACAGGTTGGCTACCGGCGTAACTCGGCCGATATACCCACACTTGTTGGGGGAGACCTATCCTGTTCTGCTCCTTTGACCCGAACCCATTAGTTTCTTTAGCAGCTACTCCCATGCCGAGGCATAAGCCTGTAATTCCACCCCTTACTACTTTGCCTGTGAAAAAATATCAGCCATATAATTTAAAAAGACCTAAAAAATATGCCGATTTCCTTGGCCCCCAATCCGCACCTGAATCCGAACCCTCAACGTCCAAAAAGAAAGGACATAAGCACGTCCCAGCCGCTGAAGTCCCTATTTCCCAGGTGTCACAACGTGTTGAGATAGCAAACGCCAGCAGCACCGTGATGATGCAACGCTGGGGGCCTGGCATTGAGCCTACGCATTGGTGGCAGGTGCCAAATCGCCACAATCACGTAGGAAATGCAATGTCAATGGATGCCAGCAATGTTTTGACTCCCCCTTCAACGCCAGCTCTAAAAAAGGAATCACCAATATGGGAAGCATCCCCTCAGGGTTGGCTGGAAAATATCGCAGAGCCCACTCCTTCGGGCCCAGACACTGCTCTGTCCCCTACACTGTTGCGGTCAGCTTCCCGAAAGCGGGCCAAGAGAGCATTACGAAATCCACAAAAGCAAGTTGCATGGCTCCATTGGTGCCACAATGTAATACACAAAGCGGTGGAAATCTATCTAGGTCTAGAGGCGAAGAAGGCAGGATGCGTGCCCCTTGCCGCCCCCAGCGAGACATCGTATGATAGAAACGGAAAACTGCAAACACCAGCAGCATCGCTGTGCTCCCACTGCAATACATCTTTCCAGTTTCATTCACTCATGACGATCACATTCTCAGGTACGTTTGCGTTCTGACCTCCCTTAGCAGTGTCCCAATGACCCCGAGCCAGGTGCCACACGGTGGACGTTCGAATATTGCAAATGTCCGTCCAATACTCTCCCGCTTAGCATCATCCAGTCTGGCTACTTTCCAGGGTCACCTGTAACGCCCCAAGTTGCCTTTCATTTCAACGTCCTTTTGCTGTATTCAGCTTTGCATGTGGACTTGTACACCCCGATTGCCTCCTTTCATGCCGCTTTGTTTGCCATGTTACGAGAGAACGGTTACGAATTCACCCACAACGTAAGATCTATTTGTTGCATGTCGGGAATTGGCACCTTCATGATCCGGCACGCATATAGGACCCCTTTCTGCAGTCGTTTAGCGAGGCGATAACATGGTTTCAAGCCCTACATGACTCGGTAGAGGTTGAAACGGAGAGAGAGTTTCTCCTACCCACATCCCCTGCGGCACCCGATGCACCGCTATGTTGTTCCGCGCCAGTCGAGTCCGCTGCGTTTACCCATGTTGCTCCTGCCCACAACGGCGATCCATCGGTCACTGCATCCCATGGCGTGATGACCGTTAACCACGGCATCCCAACCTCCATAGGGACGTCACCGGACCTTCCATCGATGGTCCATGAGCAAACAAAGCTGATTCGCAACCCATCCGACAGCAGCGCAAGTCCATACCTCCGCACGAGATGCCCGCAATGTTTTGGAGGCTCGATGTGGGGCAATTCAGCCAACAAGTTAGTCCTCTCATACATATGCTTCGGGAACAGGTATACTAAGCGATTCCCTAGATATCCTGATGTCATCATCGCCATGGATGGTAATATGCAACATAAGCAATACATGTTCGTTGGAGGAGAGATGATTCTTCCCTGGAATGAAACTTGCACATTCCTCACCGATGCCGAAATCGAGGAAGCTGCCCGCCATATCTCTGATGCACGAGCTGCATCTAGAGGCTGTTCGGAAGTATCTCGTCCCTCATCCCTTGTACCAGATGGTGCTATTGATGAATGCGAAGAATCACACAGAGCCACAAAATGTGGAAAGCAGTCAGCCTCAAAAACGGATACCTTCCGTTCGAAGGGCCTGATGGCAACCATATGCCGTCATGACATCCCCCTTTTCCTCTGCGATGTATGCACTCTGGGTGAACAGCAGCACTTTTCGATTGCCATGCTCCTTGCACTTAGCCGCCAACTACCCTCAAATGCCACTATTGGATTAATGTATGATGTTGGGTGTGTTCTTGATCGATCGATTGCCAAGGTATGGCCTCGCATGGTCTGCAACTACAACCTCTGATATTTGAACAAAGTACAATCTTATCCCCGAAATCGCTCCTAGATTGAGCATCGCCATTTCAGTCTTCCATGCCTACGCACATCAATTCTGTTGTCAAATCACATTTCACCCCTGGAAATGAAATGGGTTCGGAAAGTCAAACAGGGAAGGAAATGAGCGATTATGGTCCTTGATTGTTGATACAATTGCGCCTGAATGCATAATGAGTGTGAGTCCCAACACTGTTCGGTTGACAACCCTCTCTTATGCAATGTTGTCCCAAAACTATAGCCGGCAAAACGAATCACAACTATCGACAACAAAATCAAGATGATCGCATGCCGTGGCCGAGACCGCTTTGCTTCATTGGCTAGGTCCAAATTGGCCGCCATTGTTCATGAGGAGGCGCTTCTAACCAACCTCCTGCAAGATTTGAAGAGTAAGAGGGGATTCACAACTCCTTTCCTTCAATCCCAGTGGGAAGAGCAAAAGTCTTTGCAGCTCTCTGTTCGAGCCTGTATGCCCATTCCCGATCTCATGTTCGGCATTGACTTATGCTGTTATGCCCTAGACAATGATCAAGCCGGAATGAAAAAGTTCGCCAAACTTTTGGAAGCTGAACGATCAGCCCAGGCACATTCGGATGCATTGGACGCCGTAAAGAAGGAGCTGGACCGAATCAGCTTGGCACGAACACTGTCCCATAGTCCTATCGACCTCACGGAGCATTTCCAAGCTGCTCAGCGTGTATGATCGTTGCATGATAAATCTCAAGAATGCCTACGCGATCTGACAGCTCAAATTGGCCTGTCCGATTTGAAACTTCCGCAAAATCCGTCTAGCACAGAAAGGGACTACATGGAGAAGTACATTCTGGCCTGATTCTGCAAACATGCCATCCTTATCCGCTTAGCCAAGTACCAGGACGAGATTAACCCTATTCAGAGCTCACAACGGCGTGGAGGATGGCTGGTTACAAAAGTCGGTAAGCATACCCCATTTGAGGCGAATTCTGATGTGCTCGAAAATTCATCCGGTACTTTGAGGATATTTGAAAATGGTCTCAGTGTTCAATAGCGCAAATGACCGTGCCTGTATTATTTCCACCCATGTTGTGCAATATAACAAGCTTGTCGACTGCCTTGAGTGTTCTGTTAGGCCATCCTGGCTCCCGGACTCTTTAAAACACGCCAAAATGAATGTCAAGGAGCTGCTTAACATGGATCCCAGTGATGAACAGTGGACAAAGATGTGGGAGAGCCTGTGGGATTCCAACTGGAACTTGGATGAGAAACCACCAGCTTTTATCATCGACCAACAGGTTCGCCATGGCATAGTAGCGGTGCTATCGCTCGCTCATATTGAGGAGGAAAAGCTTAGGCTTGCTCGAGAGGAACTTAATGCGCGCACCTGGATTGTCCAATCGGTAGACTTGTTGATTCGGATCATGGACGATATTCATTGTATGTCCTACAAATTCCACATTACCAATGTGCTGATTTGTCCTTGATCCCAGCCCTGTTTAAATATCAATGGCAACTCCGCCTAAAGTCATTACTCAAATGCCGTGATACGATCGTGAACAGATCGTTTCCTCATGTCAATCTATGGCATGCATCACTGCACTATCTGCTAGCAAACCTAGAACGTCCAGACTCTGTCAGGGGACGACTCCCGGGTCCCCATGACCCTCCCCTATGGCCCACAGCCTCGGGTCTGGCCAGCCCTATCCAGGGCACAATCCTACTGTGGGTAAGAAGATGGTATAAAAGAAGGGCAAGTATATACACTTGCCTACTGTGGGTAAGAAGATGAGAAGGAAGCTAACTTCTCATCTTCCCACAGTGGCCACAATATCAGCAAAACTTCCGGGGATACCCGGAAGTCACATGAAGGAGTAGAACCGGGCCCGGAGCATGCGGCGCGCGGAGCGTGCGCGCATGCGGGAAGCGCGGTGGGTGGAAGCGGGTCCGGACACGGGTCCGGGTCCGGGCTAGTCAGGGTGTGTGCCCTGACAGACTCCCAAGCTGCACTGAGTACCGTGGAGTATTCTTCTTTCCACCTTCCCCCCCCCGGTTCTGCCACTCTGGCCTCAGGAACCAACGGCATAGACCCCGAAGATGATTCTCAAGTTAGAAATGAGCTAAGCGCACTTGATGGACTTATCAGGATGAGCCCAGAGCTGGGTGTAGCTGATGACGATGAGCATGTTGAGCCCTACCTGTCTACCGACAGTGGCAGTGGCCCAGGCGATACTCTCGGCCCTGAGATGCCGGTAAACCTTCCAGATAGCGAACCTGAGACATGACCAGATGAGACAATGGACCCCACAGACAATGTCGAAACACATGCTGAGCCTCTTACCGACTTGGTCCCTCCTAGTGGGTTCGGAGATGTGGATAGTCCCAGCTGTGACGAGGATATTGAGGAGAGGTTCTGGAATGAGAACCCTCGTCCCCAAAGCCTTCCTCCAATTAGAACAATCTTCGATGCCATCCACTCACCCACCCAGTCTACCCAACAACAAAAGCCAACAAAAATCTGGAAGGAAATAACGGAGTTGCATTTACCTCAAGAGACTGAAAAAGTAAGAATGTTTCCAAGTTCCCCTGTGACTGACGCCACTGATGTCTCATTAGATAGTGAACGACAGCAAGACCAGAGACAAAGCAAGATATTACAAACATATTGCGATCTTCCCTGATGCACTACCAACAGTCAATCGCTGGTGGCTGATACATGGAGCAATAATCGATGCCTATGTTGAGATGCTGAAAGACCTTACAGACGAAAAGCTGTGGGACATACTCAAGACCACTCATCCCTGTGTGATTATGTTTCCTACCCAGTGTGAAGGAATGAGACATTGTATGGCAGTTCACCTGTTGGATGTATGTGGGAATACACCGATGGAATCTGTACTGACCAATATTTTAGCGAGCGACAAAGAAAGTCCGAACCGATCTTTTCGATGCAACCAGTTGGACGATTCCGTGTTACTCAAGGAGGCATGGTCACTGGCTGCTCGGTGTTGTCAACTTCGAACAACGAGAGCTGTGCTATCTTGACAGCATACCTCTACAACAAAGCGCCCATATCAATCGCCACGGTCCACAGTGGGTGTTTACAGTGCGTTTCCTAATTCTAGCCTACATTCCAGTCTTAATGTTACCGCTTTCTTCAGATACTTCGAGGCCTAGTTAATGCCATCTGGTTGTTCATTCACCCTGATGATGAGCATGGATACAACTGGTCCAATTGGTCCACCAGAGTAATCACTGTAGGTGTGCCATCTTGCTGTATGAACATCATATACATTACAAGTCCTAGATGGAACAGTGCCAATGGAACGGGTATGATTGTGGGGTTTGGACCATGGCTGACATTCAAGCTATACACATCGGGCTCGATGCTGCACCGAAAGACACGAACATCGATGATTTTCGGGATAGGGTGAAACACCAAATCCTTTCTATTCCTCTGTTAACACCGAGCTGGCAGCCTACCTGGAGAACCCTAAATCCTGACCTTATTTGTGAACTGCGGTGCCGAGCCGCTAAAGTGGCCGCAAACTTTCCTGTTGATTATGCCCAGCTTGGAATTGATCATACGGACGTTCCTTTAGTGTTAGATAATGAACAGGAAAAAATAGATTTAACTGACTAGCAGAGTTTATGTATGCCGGTGTTGAGCCTCTCCTAATAAGATACTTGATGCACCAGTCAAGAGTCAAGCATTCTAGGCCGATGCCAGGTAGCAGCAACCTGGAAACGATGACATGGGACGCCAGGAGGCACTCTTAACCTCCTTAGCTTATGTTCCGTCATTTTGAAGAACTGTCAGTTGTAATCGGTACGAAAACAGCTTGCATTCCCAATTAAGCGGACATACATTCCAGTACTCCACAAGCACATCGAGGCAGGCAAAGTGGAAGACAATCCATCTGAATCGTCTTTTGGTGACTTGAACTGCAGGAAGTGGTAGGCGAGTATAAATTTGGTGGTGCTACATGGTACTATGCTCGTTTAAGTGAAGTTATTCAGAAGGTTGCCTGTATTGGGGGACTTCTTGCTGCTCTCGTTCCTGCAACACTGCATGAAATGGACATGTGTACACCTGTAGGACATCGTCCCTTCCGGAGCTTTTGAGCAGTCCACATGCTCAAAATCCAGATCGGCCCGAAACCACACTTCATAACCATCCTCACTGCAAAACGCTCAAAATTTCGAATGGTGTGCCATCTGGTTTCATGAACAGTGAGCTGGGGTGTTCGACGTCTGCATGAGGTGCAGTGACATCCGTCATATAAGCCTGTAACCTCTAGCTGGACCATTTCGCATCACCAAGCGTGTAATGGGTGAACTTCCTACTTCATAAACCCCGTTGCAGCGATCTCCCCGCGTCTCCCATACATTTCGGCTTAACTTCTCTCTTATGTTCATTATGCTAACTTACATCTTTGTCAGGGCACACCCACCTGACCCTGCGCCGTACTGCCCTACCCCGCTTTCCCCGCTATCACCCCCCGTCCCTCCTTTCTCACTTTCCCCTTTTCTCTCTATTTCTATTCTATGGTCGATTTCCCTTTTCTCCATGTACCACTATGTACCTAACCCTGCTCCCCTGATTGCCGCACGTGCCGCGCACACACTCCTGCCTACTGAGCGGCCACCTCCGGGATCTCCCGCAGAGACACCCGGGGGGCGCGGCTGTGTGCGGAGATGATGTGGCTTCTCCCACGTGACCCTGACCGCCTGTATATAATAGCGCCTGGGGTGGGAACAGAAGAAGCAGCCTTCTTCTCAACTTCCCACTTCAGGTAAGTACCATAGCTTTCCCCTTTTAATGATAACTCAACTTCCCACTTCAGCCTAAGTGGTTGGGGACGCTCACCCTGTGACGGGACCTCCGCTACGCATAGCCGACACCTGTCCCATCGAGTCCCTCGCACCGGGACCTCACCGCTTTCGGAGCTGTCCCTGACAGCAGAAGAAGGCTTTAACCTCATTTCCCCTGCCTCCCCCATCTCCCCCGCTATGGTGACCGAAGAGCAGTATGACGAGCTGCTGTCCCGATTCCAGGAGCTCCAGGCCATCGTAGAGAGCCAACTCCAGAGCCAACCCCCAGCTGCGCCCACACCGGCGCCAGCGCCCACACCGGCGTCCACACCCGCCCCCAGACCCAAACCGCCCAAAGTTGCCCCTCCTACCCCCTTCTCTGGAGCAACCGAAGACCTTGACCGCTTCAAGGCTGAATGCGGCATTTACTTCCATGTTCGGGCAGCGGAGTTCCCCGATGCCCTCTCCCAGATCCTCTTTGTCCTGTCTTACATGAAGGGAGGGACTGCGGGAGCATGGGCGATGCAGCGTACCATCACGCTGCTGACGACAGGCTCCCCCAGGCTTACCATGGACGAGTTCAACACGGAGCTCGACGCCATGTTTCAAGACCCAAACCGCGAAGCCACGGCCAGGCAGAAGCTGGCCACCTTGCGACAAGGCACCGACTCTGTGGACAAGGTCATCCAAGAGTTCGAGATCCTTGGCCCCGCCTCGTGGCTAGGAGATGTAGGGCTAGTAGACCGCTTCGAGCAAGCGATCAACTCCCGGCTCCGAGAGAGCATCTACCGCCTCCGCCCCATGCCGACTACCTGGGCCGAGTGGAAACGTGAAGCCACCCTCCTCGACAACCAGTGGCGGCGCTTCCAGGCAATGCAACCCCACTTGCCCCCAGTCAGACCCCAACTCCCACCCACGAGATCCCTGCTCCCTACTACCTTCGTGCAAGCGCGCCCAGCTCCCCCACCCCTACGCCCCTCAGCCACTGCCACACCGCCACCTCCCGCAGTGCGCCCTGCAGCGGGAGGGGGACCGCAGCCCATGGACCTCGACCGCTTGAGGATAGACCAAAGATGGAACGGGCTGTGCTATAACTGCAACGCACCAGGGCACGTCGCACGAGACTGCCCGCAACCGAAAATCCGCCGAGCCAGGCGAATGCACCCAGAGGACCTTAGGGCACTCATGGAAGGGCTGAGAAGGCAGTTGGTAGATGAACCAGAAGCGGATGGAGGAGACGGGCAAGAGACAGAGCCCCAAGAGGATTTTCAGGAAGGCGACCGGTGAGGGATGCACCCCGGCCGCCTGTAGGCGATAGTAGTAGCTCGTGTAGATACTGTGAGGCACCTAAGCCAGTGCCAACGTCCAAATTCCACCGAGTCATTGCCAAGAAAAAGAGGAAAATCGCGTCCTCAAGTAGTAAGGGCAAAGAAGCCCCAAGTACAGCGCCGAAGGTAGCGGTCCCGCCACCCGCCATCTATGTGCTGTCCAAGCAACCCCCAGATCCCTCAACATGGCTGTAAAGCTGACCACCCTAACCTCCCTTGCCACCGTCTCCATGTCAGCGCTCCTAGACTCGGGAGCCACTGGGAACTTTGTAAGCCCTGAGTTCATTAGGAAGCATAAGCTCGAGACGACCCTGCTCCCCCAGCCCATCCCCGTTCGCAATGTTGACGGAACCCCAAACGAGAACGGAGCCATAACTGAGGAACTGGAGGCCCTCTTGACATTCAGGCGGCACACAGAGTGGGCCCGCTTTGCCGTCGCGAACCTTGGGCAGCAGTCCCTCATCATAGGACACTCGTGGTTGCTGCACCACAACCCAGAGGTAGACTGGACACGGCAAAAGGTCAGTATGTCCTGGTGCCCGTCTTCCTGCCAGTCGGTGCGAGGACGGGCTGACCCAGACCCTGTGGTGGAACCTGGGGATGGGATTTACACCGCTATCATCCCTCCGGGGTGGGGACACGAGCTAAGAGCAACCACGATGCCATCCCAGTGGATGGCCCAGGAGGCACGCGAGCCAGGAGCGGACCCGGCACCGTTCGAAGCGCTAGTCCCACAACAGTACCAGGACTTCAGAGACGTATTCTCTAAAGAGGCCTTCGACCAGCTACCTCTGCGGAAGCCCTGGGACCATGCAATAGACCTAGTGCCGGATGCCAAGCTCCCAAGAGGAAGGACCTTCCCCCTGTCACGGCCAGAGCAGAAGGAACTAGACGAGTTCCTGCATGAGAACCTGCAGAATGGGCACATACGGGCGTCCAAATCCCCGATGAGAGCGCCGGTCTTCTTCGTCAAGAAGAAGGACGGGTCGTTGCGCCTAGTCCAAGATTACTGAAAGCTCAACGAGATCATGGTCAAAAACTCATACCCCCTCCCACTCATTTCGGACGTCCTCACGCACCTCCGAAATGCCAAATACTTCTCGGCGCTAGATCTGTGCTGGGGATTTAACAATGTCCGCATCAAGGACGGCGATGAGTGGAAAGCGGCGTTTTCGACCAACAGGGGATTGTTCGAGCCCACCATCATGTTCTTCGGCCTGTGTAACTCCCCAGCGACATTTCAGACAATGATGAACGACATCCTCCGAGACTTCATCGATCGAGAGGTCGTCATCTGCTACATGGATGACATCTTGATCTTCACAGCCACCCTAGAGGAGCACCGGAGGGTCGTCCGAGAGGTCCTAGAGACGCTGTGGAAGCGGAGACTCTTCTTAAAGCCGGAGAAGTGTAAGTTTGAGCAGAAGCAGATCAAGTATCTCGGCCTTATCATCTCCGAGGGAAACGTCGCGATGGATCCCGTGAAAGTCCGCAGAGTTCTTGACTGGCCAACCCTGACCAAGGTCAAAGAAGTACAATCCTTCCTGGGATTCGTCAACTTCTATTGCCGGTTTATCAAGGACTTCTCTGAGACAGCCCGCCCCCTCCACATGCTGACCCACAAAACCAAAGCGTGGGCCTGGGGACCAGACAAGGACCATGCTTTCCGCACCCTTAAAGACGCTGTCACCTCCGCCCCGGTCCTCGCCTTCCCCACTGATACAGGCTGCTTCAAGCTTGAGTGCGACACCTCTAACTTTGCAACTGGTGCGGTCCTATCCCAGCTCCAAACAGACGGGGAGTTCCACCCTGTAGCTTTCATGTCCAAGAGTTTCACAGATGTAGAGCGCAACTATGAAGTGTATGACAAGGAAATGCTCACAATAGTGCGCGCCCTCGAGGAATGGTGGCACTTCCTACAAGGAGCAGAGGAGAAAGTGGATGTCTACACCGACCACTGCAACCTAGGGTATTTCCACACTGCGCAACGGCTGAATCGGTGCCAAGCACGGTGGTCACTCTTCTTCTCCCAGTTCCACTTCACCCTCATCCACCACCCCGGGAAACTCATGGGAAAACCCGACGTGCTCTCACGCCGTGCTGACCACCCAAAAGGTAAAGACGACAATGAAGGGCTGACTCTCCTCCAACCCGCCTGGTTCGAGGCCTGCGTGGCGGAGGCGGTCTTAGTGGAAGGCAAAGAGATGACTATCCTTGAGAGGATCAGCAGGGCAAAAGACCTAGATGAGAAGGTGGTGAAGGCGATGTGAGAACTTGGGGAAGGCACGCTGAGGTCAGATGAGTGGGAGAGGCAAGGAGAGCTGGTTCTGTACAGAGGAAAGGTATACGTGCCGAAAGATCCGCAACTCCGCCATGACTTGGTGCGGTTCCACCACGACGTGTGGGCGACGGGGCACCCAGGGCGGTGGAAAACCCTGGAACTCGTCTCCTGCGACTACTGGTGGCTGTCACGCCCCCGCAAAGTCATTCTTGCGCCCGT